GATAAAGAGTGTATAAACCTACGCCATTGTGATCGATTTTGAGCCATGTCACCTAGAATCTCCAACTATTGGTTACGATAGTCATGCGGACCCCAACCAGGTAGTCTGCATCTGCAGAAGAAGATTTGTAGCTCAGGTGAGTGCTTTTGATGAAGTTTTGTTCCCTGAGCCGAATGGTTTGATCGTAGAGGTTTCATCATTCTTCTGAACGACATCATCAGCACAAATTTCGGGTAGATCTGTTGTGCTGAGAGGAGGGAACTCCATCAAAATCACTTAATAACTATAATTTCTTTAATTATCATACTAATTTAATTGTTTTTATGTTTGGTAACAGATAAAGTTTAAAGCTAAGTTGTCCTTGTTCTGACTACAGATTTCATATAGACTCTGAGATCGCTAGTATTGCGTTTACAGTTCTAGTAGTAGTATATACGTAGGACAAATTAAATCCTACACTTACTCTACTTTACTTACTTACTTACTTCGCTTACTTTAGTTTACTTACTTACTTACCTACTTACAAACATACTTATTTACGCCTGTTGCTCCTCGTGGTGGGTAAAATGTCGCCCACCACGTATGATTTACCTGTGAAAATCTATAAGAGTATATGAGAGTATGTAATAATAATTGAATTTTGACAAATCAGTGAGGAATATTGGGATTTACTAAAATGTTCAACGTTATAGATTGTCACCTGGATGTCCTGTTAATGTATGACGTGAGAATACCATCCGATTAGAGAGCAGTGATTTATCAATCGGACCAATGACTCATGAAACCTTTACAAGCAGTCTAGAGTACTTATCAGTCCTACTTCCCAAAACACCAATCTCAGCCTCTGAACTTTGAATCATTCTATTATTTCAAACACACTACGTTTATATGCAAACCAGACAGACCAGATCATACCATAAAATAGGAAACAACAATTGTACAAGATCACAAATCAATGGAAACTAGACCATCATGGAGAACCTAGAAGCACTGGATAGCCGTTTCATCCTATTGTGGGACTCCTCAGCTATTAAAATCAGAATACTATCCACAAAGCACCTTTTGATATTAGTACAAGAGTTAGCCAAATGTGGTTGTGAATGTAGGAGACAGCAATTAATAGACTCGGGATAGCTTACAAATGATAAATCGTATATTTATAGTTCATAGGTCAAAATAAAGCTTATAATAGGAGGAACATGTTTACGTACCTCAGAACTATCATCGATGAAGAAGGAGGATCTAATGAAGACATGAATACATGCATTGGCAAAGTAATGACAACATTCCTACAACTAAAGAATATATGGAACTTAAAATAACTGTCAACTAATATCAAGATTACAATCTCCAATACCAATTCCAACGCAGTTCTATTGTACGGAGATAAAACCTCGAGAACTACCACAACCATCATCAAATTAGTACAAATATTTCTAAACAATTGTCTACAAAAGATACTCAATATCCATTGACCGGATACCATCATCAACAACCTATTGTGGGAGAGAACAAACCAACTTCCAACTGAGTAGGAAACTAGGAAAAGACGGTGAAAGTGGATACATTGTGTAAATCATCAAAGTGCATCACGAAGTAAGCACTAACTTGAAATCTTAAAGAGAAACGGAAATGAAGAAGGCCAAAAAATGATACATACATTAAACATGCAAACACTAACTCAAAATCTTGAAGGGACATGGAAATGAGGAATACCAAAGTACACACTACATCGAGAAATAGAAGCAGGTATGCAAAGGATAAATATCAACTGGAAACAATTGGAACATATTACTCCAGATAGAGTTGTAACTTGACTTTTAAGCTTTACGTTTTGTTGAATACCTATTTTTATTCAACGAATTAAACACAATTAAGTCGTTATTATCTATGATTAGGTTTGATTCCTAGAAGTTTCAAGGCGATACTAAATTTACTGGACTGTCATAATTCTTACTAGAATGGTAAGTATTTGTGTATATATGAATATGTCACTACTAAATTAGTCTACAAATACAGTATGTTATTTTAATTACGATAATAGTTACCATGGGTCAACAGTTTCACCATAATTTGAATATATCTATTAATCATTATATGATTATTTCCAAGTTATCTTAATTAGAATTGACAGTATTCAGATTCAGAGGAGATTAGAATTCATTATTTATTGAAGATGGATATTTTGATCTATACTGGAAGATCTAAAGTAAGTGAATAGAATTTCCTACATTTTCATTTTAGCATTGTTCGTTTGAATCTTCTCATCGATGTGTTTCGGACTGCAACTGTTAAGTCTCTTATTGGCATATGTGCATATTGTATGTATTGCCTTGATATTGTCGTAATTCACAGACATTGTAAGCAAAGATGGATATTGGCTAGTAGTGGAATCCAGTTTGAAGCGCGTTTCGTCCTATTTGGGACTCGTCAGCTGAATGTACCTGCATCTCAGACTTGTTGATGTTCAGTCTGGAACTCTAAACCAGTAACTTTCGCTTCAAACGCCATCTCATTATCCACTTAGCTACTGTGTCCTGATAGCCACTTGCTTGTGCAATAGGGTGAAGTTTAGGTTCAGCTAACGAGCCACAAACAGGACGAAACACGCGTCCTGGATTCCACTGCTAGCCACTATTCATCTTTGCTTATAATATTTGAATTTGTTAGTTGGCTATGAAATAATCCATAGTTAAGTTAACCTTGTCCTAGTTCATTATGCAAGTTGTTTGCCATTCTAAATCAATTTGAAGGGTGTATAGTGAATGAGAACACGAATAGGGATAATTGAATGTATATGACAAGGAAATTACAGATTATCTTACTAAAATTTGATAACCATACAGTAAACAGTTAATTTGCAAATTACTAATCAATTATCTCAATCTTGACCATTCCTTCTGCAAATATCAGTCCATAGTCTCCGATTATTACAGTCATGCATTTTCATAACAAAAGCATTTCGTTTCCGTTTTTTTATTATGGATCTTCTACCGAAATACATTCAATGTCTGATCATCGTTATATACTACTTGTGTGGATATGAGTAGCCTACACCACAATGATCTTAAAACTAGTAAACTTTGAACGATTGTTTCGTTCCATCTTGTCATCTATTAAACGGGAGCACCTACAAATAATAAATTATCCACAGACATCTAAATGGATAATAACAATATTGGATAATGAGTCTGGAGTTGGATCTTTTAAAGTCGTAGTTACAAAGCATGACAATTGGAGTTAATCAAGATTTAAGAAGTAATTCAGTAACGACAACGGATGTGGAACATACTCTATCACAGATTGGACAAAACGTACTTGATTGAACCATGAAGACAAGAATGTAACAGCTAAGAAGATATACGGATTATGCTATCTCTATAGAATAAATTCATAGATGAATAGTTGTTTATCAAATTTTTGGGCTATGAATATTATGTTTGTGAAGATACTCTAAACTTCAACATCGACTTTCATATGTTCAGTGAATTAACTCCACCGAGGAGTCATAAACTACAATATGAAGTCAGTTCAATACTTCTTAGCATTCATAAGTGTTAAAATTGAAAGTGTAAACCAATTTCACATAGTGAACTAAATGAACACTGGATCAATTTAGTAAATAGAAGATACTAATCAGTTAGGTGGTTCATCATTAATACATTCTTATCGTGGATTCATTGTAAGACACCAACTGTTTTGTGATAATTGGTTTGATTATAGAATGGTATCATATTCAACTATCATATATATAATGTTTCGGTTGATCTGATGCAGCTGTGTAGTCATTGATCAGCAAAGCTAGAGCAGCATATCTACAATTGAAAGACATCTGGAACTCAAAACAACCGTCTGTAAATCAACATCAACATCAGCATTTTCAATACAATTGTCAAAACAGTTCTACTGTATGGGGTGAAAACATGGAGAATTACGAAAGCCATCATCCAGAAGATTCAAGTGTTTAATAACAGTTATCTACACAAAATATTTCGTATTCGTTCATCAAACACTAACAGCAACAACCTATTGTGGGATAGGACAAACCCCATTTAAGCGGAGGAAGTATTGAATAGCACATACATTGAAGAAAACACCCAACTGAGTCATAATGATAGCCCTCACAAGGAATCCTGAAGGCCAAAAGAAAAGATCAAGACCAAAGAACACATTACTCTGAGAAATGGAGACAGACACGAGAAGAATGAACAACAATTGGATAGAACTAGAAAGAAAGATCCAGGACAGAGTGGGTTGGAGAATGTTAGTCGGTGGCCTATGCTTGATTGTGAGTAACAAGAGTAAGTGAATAACTAAGTAAATAAGCATATTATGTTTCATACTAATCACAAGTAAAAACTTCATTAGTATTCCAATCAGTTAAAATTATCATAATCACAATAATTACAAATAATCAGAAGGGGGTTTTGTGCAGATTCCTAAAATCCACACAAAACCCCCTTCTGATAATGATCATATACTCACTAGTGACTAGCTCGGTGAGGTTTTTCCTGGAGTTCTAGTGAGAAGCAGTAACCATTGGAGTTCAACCAGGTCTGTTGGGAGATATCAACTCACTGAAGACATTGGTAAATAGTTGCTCAATTTCGTGGATTGGTTGAAGTTAGACATTAAAACTGTTGGATGCCGGCTCAGTGCTCTAAAGGTTAAGCGCTAGCGCCCGAAACTAATAGGTCCTGGATTCGAATATTGCGGAGGAGATCGTGGATGTCCACTGTCACTGTGCAGTCCCACAATAAGTCAAAACTACCGTCCAGGTTTTCCATGATGGTTTAGCTTCAATTGAATCATGATCACAAATAGATAAAATAGATAAAATTACAAATAAGACAATTTAATCAAGTTAAAATCAATTTGATTTAAGTAGTGTCTTTGTTTTCTCCTTCAAAAAAAAACACAATCTTTACATCATTATAAAGATACTCTACATTAATAAGTAGTATCTAGTCCACATAAATAACATCATTGTTTCATCTTCTTTATAACATTTTCCATAAATATTGCAATATTGCCCTACAATGGAAAAGAAAGATATACATTGTCTTATTTGAGAAAATGTAATACTTGACAGTTATATTGTAATTATAATAGTTGAGATCATGAATCAATTGAAACTAGACATTCATGGGAAACGTAAAAGCATTGCACGGACATTTCTTCCTGTTGTGAGAATTCTCGTACGGTCAAAGCTTCAATAAACTTTAGTATACGTCCTTTTACACTTTTATACAATACTACAAAAGCCAAGTTTTGATTAATCTAACCATAATTTAATCTTCACTAGAATATAACCTACACCATTCTATGAAAAACAAACAAACAAAAAAAAACAACCTAACTACGAATGATACTTTCAATTAGATTCTGATGTTCCTCCCAGAGACAACAACAAAAATGAAACAGCCGTCCAGTGCTTCCAGGTTTTCCATGGTTGTCTAACTTCAATTGTCTCATGATTTCAACTATGCAAATACTGAAATCTCCACAAACCCCCCTTCTGATAATGATCATATGTTCACTATTGACTGGCTTCATGAGGTATTTCCTGAAGTTCTAGTGAGAAGCAGTGAATCAGTGGAGTTCAACCAGGTCTGTTGGAAGATATCAACTCACTTAAAACAAACATCATCATGGTAAACAAAGATGGATAGTGGCTAGAAGTGGAATCCAGTTTGATGCGCGTTTCGTCCTATTTGGGACTCGTCAGCTGGATGTACCTGCGTCTCAGATTTTATATTCACCCTGGGACTGGAACCCAGTACCCTCGCTTCGAACGCCACCGCATTATCCACTCGCCCACCGAGTCTTGATAGCCAGGGATCATCATCTTATATTTGGTAATTATGAATGAGTTAATGGTAATGACAATGATCAGTAATGAAATAATTTCAAACATTAGTAATAAACTTACCATAATTTGTAGATTAATTTTCTTTTTTTGTTTTAAATAAAGAAAATATGAAATTGAATGAATTAATTAATAAACTGAATAATTGAATACATGAGTCAAATAAAGATAGATCACTATGGAAAACCTGGAAGTAATGAACTGCGGTTTCGTTCTAGTATGGAACTCCTTAGTGTGGTGTATATCCACGATTCAGCCAGATGAGTTTCAGACCTAGAACCTATCGGTTTCATGTAGGAATGTTTAACCTCTAGACCATTGAGCTAGCTGGCATCCAACAGTGTTAATGTCTAATTTCAACCGATTATTGGATTGTCAGAAAGGGGTTTTGTGGATATTACAGTAATTTCAATAGTTGAGATCATCAGTCAGTTGTAGCCAGACCACCATGGAAAACCTGGAGGCATTGGATGACCGTTTCGTTTTATTGTGCGACTCCTCGTCAGTGCGCGTCCACGATCCCGCCTCGCGAGATTCAAATCCGCTTCTGATAATAATCATATGCTCACTAGTGACTGGCTTCAAGAGATATTTTCTGGAGTTCTAGTGAGAGGCAGTGACCAATGGAGTACAACCAGGTCTGTTGGAAGATATCAACTCACTGAAGGCAATAGTGGACGGTTGCTTAATTTCATAGATTGGTAGAAGTTAGACATTAACTCCGTTGGATGCCGGCTAGCTCAGTGGTCTAGATGTTAAGCGCTAGCGCGCAAAACTGATAGGTTCTGGGTTCGAATCTCGCAGGGTGGGATCGGTGATGCTCACTGCTGAGGAGTCCCATAATAAGACGAACCGGTCGTCCACTGCATCCAGGTTTTCCATGGTGGTCTTAGTTCAATTGATTCATGATCTCAACTATAAAATATGATTTAATTATTAATAACAAAATCTTATTCAGACTTGATTTCTGATGCAAGTTCAGAGAAGATGTATCTAGATCTAATGAAACTTGTTTTCCTTTGAAATAATAAAGGACATTAATATACAGTGAGGGATTCAAAGATTTTGTCAATTAACTTTACACAATATTTCTGTGAATTACAGATCAAAATTATATATATAAATCCCTGAAGTTGTAGACCCTTTTAAGATTTACAGTTCTTGAATCCATTTTTCAGTAAATTAATTTCTAGAAGAAAGTTTATCATCATAATTGTTTCAAATAACATTTGAATGTTTACTTACTAACCTCTCGTGGAGGAGCATAGATCGCTCACACCATTCTCCATCCAACTTTGTCATGGACAATACTTTCCAGTTATTTTCAGTTGATATTCATCCATTGCATACCTGCTTTTATTTGCCGACGTAATTTGTTTTTTACCTTCCTCATTTCTGTTTTCCTTGATGCAATTTGGTGATTTCCACAATGTATATCCTATCCACTTCCAACATCTTCTAATTTCCTATTCATATGGAATTGGGTTTGTTCTCTCCTTCCATAAGCTGTTGCTAATGATATCTGGTCAACAGACATTGAGTATTTTGTGTAGATAACTGTTTATAAATACTTGTGCTTATTTGATTATGGTTGTATCAGTTCCTGAAGTTTCATCTCCATACAATAGAACTGTGTTGACCTTCGTATTAGAGATTGTGACTTTGATATTAGTTGACAGTTATTTTGAGTTCTATATGTTGTGTTCAACTGTAGAAATTCTGCTCATGTCTTGCTAATACTCGCACTTCGGTTACATCAGATCCTCCTTGTTCATAGATGATGCTTCCAAGATACGTGAAATGTTCCACCTCTTCCAGAGCTTTCCCGTCAAGTGAAACTGGATTAGTGTTCTCTGTGTTTAAGTTGAGGATTTTGGTTTTCGACATATATATATGTTGACGCCTGCTGTTGCAGAGGCTGTTACTACACTGGTTGTCCTGACCTGCATTTACTGGTGTGTATGGGATAGAAGAGTTAGGTCATCTACGAAGTTCAGGTCTTCTAACTGATTATGAGATGTTTATTATATGATATATGAATAGTTGGATGGATGTTTAAATAACAAAGAAATCAATAATAGAGAAAATCACTCACAGCATCATTTCATTTAATGTTCTATGAAAGGAAAGAACAACAACTTGAAATGTATTCATATCGTTACTGATAATAATCTCAATGGATGAACAGTCTTATCAGCATTGTATATTCAATGACTCTTAATCATTACAAGCAGACAGTTTTGATATTTAAGCATCCTGTGTAGACTGCCTGGATATTGCCTGAAGTCCCAAGCTTTATAAGCAAAGATGGTTAGTGGCCATTACTGGAATCCAGGGAGCGCGTTTCGGGACTCATCACCTGGATGTACCTGAATAGCAGAATTGATGTCCACTCTGGAACTCGAACTCAGTACCGTTCGCTTCAAATGCGATCACGTTATCCACTTAGATACTGAGTCCTGATAGCCACCTACTTGTTCAATGGGGTGAAGTGGAAATTAACTTGGTGTTGTTTACGTGTATCTTCCCATTGTTATTTAAGACTGCAATCGATCAGTCTCTTATTGTTATATATGCATCCTATGCGGACTGCCTTGATATTGTCTGAAGTCACAAGCTTTATAAGCAAATATGAATAGTGGCTAGCAGTGGAATCCAGGAAGCACGTTTCGTCCTATTTGGGACTGATCAATTGCAGTCCTAAATAACAATGGGAAAATACAAGTAAACAACACCAAATGAATTATTCAGGTCTGCTGGCTTCTTTCACTGAGGTTTCAGAGATTAACTGATATATGAACTAGTAAGAAATATGATATTTAGTATCATTGTATGTTGGTATGAGTTCAAAATATCCGGTTTCTTTATTTTAGAAGTTCTATTTCATCCTTAAAGACTCCACTGACTTTAGCTGATTAGTTACTTATCGCATGTATATATATAATTGTCAGATCATCTGGATTAAATCATTCATATCTGATCAGTCTTGTTGATTAAACTCTATACTGGGATCCTAAGCTAGTCTCGTAACCCGCAAGCTAGAAATACACAGCGAATTGAACACGAGAGTAAAAGCACAAAATATGCGAGAAGCACTTTACTCCAAGGGTTCATTCATGTACAGAAAATATAGGGTTTTTATAGTATTTTAGAAGTCCTTGGTTTTTCCGAAAATTCTAGAATACTACTAAACATAGTAGCAATATAGTAATCAACCAATCAGAAACTCTACATCTGATTTTTCATTTTCATGATGTTGCTGACAAAACGTCTACTGAATGTTGATTTGATAAAATGTTTCTTTAATGTTTCCTGAGCTTGTCATATCTATTTTGAGAACTTTTCAGGATCATCCTAACAATATCATCAGCAGTTTTTCTAGACTTAGGATCGAAAATCACTGGATCTAAAAAGTCACAGTGTGATTAAAAGTATTAAGAATACGATGGAACTAATTGCTGAGTTTCAAGTGAAGTAAATAGCTCATCTATGATTCCTGTATTATATCTTTCTTTATACACAATCTTTCTTTGATATTTTACTACCATTGAAGTAACTTCTATGAATTCGGTGTTCATCTTTATATGCTGATTAGGTATGTCAACTCGGACAGATGCTTATATAAGCAAACATGGATACTGGTTAGTAGTGGAATCTAGTATGCGCGTTCCCGGCCTATTTGGGACTTGTCAGATGGATGTACCTGCATCTCAGTCTTGTTGATGTTCACTCTGGAACCCGACCCCAGTACTTTTCGCTTCAAACAATATCACGTTATCTATTCGGCTACTGAGTCCTTTAAACCGTGAGATTAAAATTACTTTATACCTTTGTTTCTACGATCTTATTCTATCTCCTTTTATCATATACAATCCTTATATATATATATATATATAATACTGCCACTGAAGTAACTGCTTCTATGAATTGAGTATTCATCTTTTTATGCTGATGAGGTATGGAAACTTGGACCAATGCATATATAAGTGCCTGATCCGACATTAGTGTTGATGATTATGATAATCAATAAAGAAATACATCATGATGTAATCGATTGGTTTCATTCAAAATATTATTAACCGATCACATTTGAGTAGTAAAAAATTCTTCACTAAACTTACAATGGTTGTTCACAATCTTCACTATAAAAGGAAACAGTTATATAATGAATTTTTCAAGGGTTATAACTTTATACTAACAGAATTATGATACAAATTATACACATACAATCATTAGTAAACTGCTAAAAACTGTAATCATAAACATGATCCATACTTCAACTAGTATTGTTTGTTTGAATTTTCCCATTGATGCTTAGGACTGAAACTGGTCAGTATCTTATTACCGTATGTGCATACTGTGCGTATTGCCTCGATATTGTCTCAATTCACAACCATTCTAAACAAAGATGAATAGTGACTAGCAGTGAAATCCAGTTTGACGCGCGTGTCGTCCCATTTGAGACTCGTCAGCTGGATGTACTTGCATCTCAGACTTGTTGATGTTCACTATGAGACTCGAACCCACTACCTTTCGCTTAGGACTGCAATTGATCAGTCCCGAATAGGACGAAATGAGCATTCTGGGTTCTATTGCTAGCCAATATCCATTTTTGCTTATGATCCATGCTTGTTAATACAGGATATCAGTTTAGTTGATTGTTTGTTGAATTTATCATTCACCATGTTTTCATTATAATCCTAATATAGTGACCACGATGAAAAACCTGGAAGCGCTCAATGGCCGTTTCGTCCTATTGTAGGACTCCTCAGCAGTGCGCATGCACGATTCCTCTTCACGAGATTCGAACGCAGGACCTATAAGTTTCACGATCGAGCGCTTAACCTCCAGACTACTGAACTAGCCGGCATCCAACGGTCCTGTGTTTTCAGGTTTTTCATGTTGGTGTAGCTTCAATCGACTCATGATCTCAAGTATATAAAATTACTAAAATCTCCACAAAACCCCTTCTGATAACTAAATAATCATTATTTAATATTATTTAAAGCAAGAAACTCAGAACACAAATAACTCCATTCATGGTTTTTATACAACTGATCAATAAATGTTTATCACTGACAAATTACTGGGTGGTGATCAATATCAGATCCTTTTTAGTGCAGATCGAATGTTATCGACTAGGTTACAATATGACCACTAGTCTAGGTGACTCTACTTTGTGTGCGCTGTTGACTACCTTCAACTACCATGTTAAACCTTATTTTAAATGAATATAATTTTTGAAAGAAAAACCTTTATATATATACTCACGTTGTGATCGTTGTAGTTCTGTATAATGCAGATTTGAGATAACCACAGAAATGTTAAATTATGGAATTAAGAAACGTACTAACTACCGAAAATCCCAAAATCAATGACCGCAATGATCAAATCTTACTTAATTACTTACATACTTACTTACGCCTGTTACTTACAATGGAGCATAGGCCGCCGACCACCATTCTTCAACTTACTCTGTTCTGGGTCTTTCTTTCTAGTTCTATTCAGTCGATGTTCATTCTTCTCATGTCTGTCTCCATTGATCGGCATAATGTATTCTTCGGTCTTCCTCTTCTCCTTAGGCCTTCAGGATTCCATGTGAAATGATCAAATCTTTTGGTCATATATTGTTGAATAACCTTTACATTCCCGGTGATTGTGAGGGAGCCTTCTTCAACTGGTTTACTTCATCATATATCAGTTTTCAGTGATAGTTATGAGTTGAATTGTTTATTCGATATGGGATATACGCTGTATTAAAACAATAACCAGGATGCTTTTTTTCTGTAGATTGTGGAGGCTAGGATCTGACGCTAATTCGGTTGTATGAATGATTGATGTCAAAATAAACATCCTGTCTACCCTCCGATGTAATACATCACTTAATCCACGTTGAGGAATAACGGAGCTAAATAATTCAAATATGAGAATGGATTTCGAATACATATATGTTGAACGCTCATTGATCTGGAAAGGAAATCAGAGGGATGAAGCGAATAGAAGATAGCGGAGCGAAAATGATGCACATTGGAGATGGTTGGTAAGCCAACTCGCTCTTATCAATATTTGTAGTCAGATAAGAATAAGTTACAGACACACATACGCTCATATAAAAACAGTCAGGTTTGATAAGTGAATAAGTAACAAGGTGAAAACCTGACTCAAGATGGATAGGTAAATTGGCTTGTGCAGAAGCTAGAATACAATATATAAGCTTAACATATCAACCGACACTACAAGATAAAGTCAACAAAGTCATCACAGTAATCGATCATTCATTCATAGTGAAATCATTGAATAGATTACGATTCAAGTGTAAATTACTTGTAATGTTTAAATTCAAAGATTCCATCAGTACTATATGGAAGCTTACAAAATTTAGTATACAATGTTTTATATTGTCTATAGATATGAAGCTGGGGTTGAATTGATGAGTCAAATAAAGCTAGATCACCATGGAAAACCTGGAAGCACTCGATGACCATTTCGTACTAGTATGGGACTCCTCAATAGTGCTCATCCAAGATCCCGCACTCGGGACTCGAACATAGGACTTTAGGTCTCGCATGCCAACGATCAACTTCTAAACCAGTGAACCAAGATCGTGAATTGATACTTCTCACAATTACCAAACAAGGAAGAAACGACCGTCCAGTTCTTTCAGGTTTTGTCTGGTTATCTTGCTTTTATCGACCTATGAATTCAACTATTTAAAAACCTTATTCATCCTACACTAGTAATAAAGATGGACAAGCCATCTCGACAGTATCTATCCATTTGAACTATTTCAGCTAGACAAGTACGTCTACTGTTACTTCTATCGTCATAAAGTGTTCTATGAAGAGTAGTAAAACCGGTTACATGGAGATTAGGTAAAAACCATTGTTTTCTTAAAGATCGCTTACACATTATGGCATAAAACTATATGTATTTGCATTTCAGCAACAGGTATTCTTGAAGAAATAAAAATCTATGAACTGTGTACCTGATGTACACCATAATGTAATAAGTAGCTACGATTGATTGATCACTGGGTAGTGATCAATGTTATGTGTATCAGATCCTTCTTAGTGCAAGTTACAATGTGGCCACCAGTCTAGATGACTCTACATTGTGTACACTATCTTGAGATAAGATGATGGTTGAAGGTAGTTGACAGGAAGCCCTGGACTTAGGTTTCGTGCTACTTGGTACTCGTCAGGAAGGTGTACTTGTAATCTTAAAGGAACTGATACTCCCTGACAAATTTGATCCCGTGTCACCCAGCTTCATCATCCGGGCCGTGACGGATATACTATTGGATTGAGATGTAATTACAATTGATTGATCACTGATTAATGTCATGTATATCATCTCCATCTTAGTGTAGATTTAATCCTATCGACCAAGTTGAAAACTTAGGTCCAGGGTTTTCAGTCGACTAACTCTAAGCACCATCTTATCTTAATAAGTAGCATATATATTCCTTAATAAATGAAAAGTAATCTCTACTTTGCCTCATGATAAACATGAATGCATAATGACAATCTAATAATACACTATGATTTATGAACAGAAAAGATAATGAAGGTGATTCATTCAAACTTACTCTGTTGTAGTTTCTTCTGATGAAAACCCTAATAGGTATCATTTGATAAACAATTAGAAAACTATTCATTTCATTGATAGTTAAAATAATGACTATTTATAATATAAAATGCATAAACATTTAATTTCTGATATGGTGTATACTACTGATATTGACAGATATAAGTAGTATGTATGGAGGAATTTCAAAGTTTAATTCATTAGCCGATTAAAGCTAGATCATCATGGAAAATCTAGAAGCATTCGATGAACGTTTCGTCCTAGTATGAAACTACTCAGCAGTACTCATCCAAGACCATGCACTCGGGATTCGAACGCAGGACCTTCTGTCTCGCGCGCAAACAATCAACATCTAAACCACTGAACTAATCGGTATCAAACAGTGTTAATATCTAACTTCAACCAATCCATGAAATTGAGCGGAACATCCCCCATTTGTCTTCAGTGAGTTACTATTTCACAATAGATCTGGTTAAACTCCACTGGTCATTGTTCCTCACTAGAACTGATAGATCCTGGATTACATGTTGTAACTATAACAACACTCTCTAATATGTCATGTTGTCAAGGTTACACTTTAGTGTGGATTTTTCATGTTACCTTGATTTACATAAATCTATGTGTAGATTTTCAATGTGTTTACAATATGAGTTCATCTAATTACTAAGCTGTTAGAAGCAAGAAAATTTTGGGGGTCATTTCTACAATGATCTACAACTGAACATCATTGTGATATGTGAAACAAAAAAGGAACACCCACTTACACCATGAATCGATACAATAACTAATATCTTTGTTGTTTTTGTTGGTGACCAGTTGAACGATCGACTGTAAGTAGATAAAGATATTTCAATGGTGAGATATTAACTCACTGAAGACAATGGTGGATGTGTTGTTCGAATTCTTGGATTAGTTGAAGTTAGACATTAAGACCGTTGGATGCTAACCGGCTCAACGGTTTAGGGGTTAAGCGCTAGCACACGAGAATGAGCGTCCTAGGTTCGACTATCCTGAGGCGGGATCTTGGATGCGCACTGCTGAGGAGTCCCATACTAGGGAAAAAACGACCGTCCAGTGCTTCCAGGTTTTCTATGGTGTTCTAGCTTCAATTGACTCATGATCTCAACCATTAAAATTACTATGATATCCACGAAAACCCTTCTGATTTTAAAACATGATTGTTTTAATAAATATTGTGGCTTATGCAGAGATGCACATGAATGTTAATGTGTGATGTAAAGAGAATAAATTTCTTCTAAACGAACTGATGATTAGGTACTTACCATAAGGTTTAGTGAGTGCTAAAATATAACAAATAAAATTAAACATATTAGCTAGTGTTTTGAAATTGTTTTTAGAATAATCATAACTTGGCATTAGTTCTTGAAGTTACTAACTTCTAGTCTGAGTCATGTTAGTAGATGCAAACTACTTAGTTGAGGTCCGCGTGATTATCGTAACCAATAGTTGGAGACTCTGTTTGACATGACTCAGAATCGATCACAATGGCGTAAGTGTATACACTCTCTGTCTTCCCTTAAACTATGAGATTAAAATTGCTTCATATCTATCTTTCTTCCTGTACTATATCCTTATAAACAATCTTTCTTTTATATATTATCACCATTAATTTAACTACTTCTATGAATTCAGTGTTTATGTTGTTGTGCAAACGAGGTATGGTAAGTTGGACCAATTGATATATGTTGTAGCTGGCTAACTGACTGATTGACTGACCTACATTACACCTCATAGTTATCTGAATGTTGTTGGAAACTAAATGAAGTTTACGTATGTATATATTTGACTATTTTTATTCTAACATATAACAAAGTAAATAGAGATTCTAGGCTATAAGCCTAGTGATGAAATCACACGACGATTCCTTGATAAGATCTTTAGAAGTCAGGAAAACGCTGTGAAGGAATTTGCTCAATCTCTTTACGTGATGGTATTTGAAGCGAACGGTAATGGATTCGAGTTCCAGAGTGAACATCAACTTCAAGATGCAGGTACATTCAGTTGACGAATCCCAAATAAGATGAAACACGCATCAAACTGGATTCCACTGCTAACTATTATCCATCTTTGCTTATTATGTTACCAACTGTTTGTAAGTAATTAAGAATAATGATAAATCGACGATATATACATATGGAAGTTGACTTACTTGGTGCTTCTATAAATACAAACAAAAGTAAAGTAAATATTAATGTCTGTATCATATAAAGTGTAAAGTAACAGTCGACAATGCTCCGATTCAAGTTATTGTAAAGAAAAAAAATTTATACTAGATGAATGGTTGTATAGTCGATGAAAATGAATTTCAGCAGTATCAATTTCTTACTTACTTACGTAAGTTACTCCCGACGGAACATGAGCCGCCGACCAGCATTCTCCAACACGCTCTGTCCTGGACCTTCCTTTCTAGTTCTATCCAGTTTTTGTTCATTCTTCTCATGCCTGTCTCCATCTGTCGGCGTAATGTGTTCTATGGTCTTCTTCTTCTCCTTTGACCTTCAGGATTCCATGTGAGGGCTTGCCTTGTGACGCAGTTGACTAATTTCCTCAATGTGTGTCCTATCCACTTCCAGCGCTTCTTCCTAATTTATTCCTCCACTGAAATCTGGTTTGTTCTCTCCCACAGAAGGTTGTTGCTGGTGGTGTCTGGTCAACGAATCCGAAGTATTTCGCGTAGACAAATGTTAACAAACACCTGTATCTTCTGGATGATGGCTTTCGTAGTTTTCCATGTTTCCGCCCAATACATTCAAACTGTCTTGACATTTGTATTGAAAATTCTGATTTGTACTTTGAATAAATCTTATCTTCACATTCCACTGGTCAAGTTAAAATCCCACATGTGAGATCATGGATGTACAGTGTTAAGAAGTTCCATACTAGAATGAAACGACGATCCAGTACTTCCAAGTTGATCCCTTCATGATATCAATCTAAACTCTTATAATATGTAACCACAGAACATGTGATAAAGAACAATTACTCTTCCAAAGTATCAATTACTTACTCATACTTTATATTCATATTCATTACATAGTACAGAATAACTTACTTCCACTACCATTTATCTCTGTAAAGAGAACAAACAAGATTACAATAAGGCATGACATCAAGTAATTCCTTTCCATTTGTTTGCTTAAAAACATAAACTGATTCAAAACAAAACGATCTAACAAGTGAATTCACAATCCGAATCACAATAGTAACAATACAAATGAAAATAATGACGGTGATAATGGTGCCTTTTTGGTAGTGCAAATCGATTAAATTGTGCAGACTATTTAGGATCATGTGATGATTGGTTTATCAAATTAAGATTCAATACGTTTGGAAAGCAAAATACCTACAATAGATAAAAGTGAAATATTTGTAATAGAAAATGTGTAAAAATGCTTTTTCCAATAATTGACGGATTGTCAGTTTGAGTATACCAATGATCAAGTTAGAATATTTATGTATATATATATATGACTAATTAAAAAGAAAAGATTAATGGATAGTATCTAGTAGTGGAATCCAGGATAGGTGTTTCGTCTTATATGGGACTCATCAGATGGATTGTACTAGCACCTGAGTTGGTGTTCATTATGGGACTCGAACCCAGTACTTTCGCTTCAAACGCCATCACGCTATCCATTCAGCTACTGAGTCCTGTAGCCACCTGCTTATGAAATGGGGTGAAGTTTGAATTCACTTACTATTATTTGTTTGAATCTTCCCATTGTTATTTAGGACTACAACTGGTCAGTTTCTTAATGGGCATATATGCATCCAGTGCAGAGTACCTTGATATTACCTGAAGTTACAAGCTCTATAAGCAAAGATGGATAATTGTTAGTGGTGGAATGCACGATACGCGTTTCGTCTTATTTCGGACTCGTCAGTAGGATGTACCTGCATCTCAGAATTGATATTCATTCTGGGACTCGAACCAAGTACCATACATTTCAAACGCCAACACGCTATCCCCTTAGATACTCAGTCATCATAGCCACCATTTGTGCAATGAAGTGAAGTTTAAATTAACTTGTTATTGTTTGGTTGAATCATCCCATTGATGTTTAGGATTGCAATTGATCAGTCTCTTATTTGGCATATGTGCATCCTATGCGGATCGCCTCGATATTGCTTTAAATCAGAAGGTTGTGAACATTAACCCTAGGATGCAAGTACATCCAGCTGACAAGTCACAATTAGGACGAAACGTGTGTCGTGTATCCCATTGTTAGCCATTATCCATCTTGGCAAACGTGTTACTGAAAAGAAATCACATAAGTTGAATCTACTGATTTTAAACATGAAATTCATTCATAATTACTCATTAACTATACAATTAATAACTGAAATGCTTATTTATGATCAAACGACTTGTGTTTCAACGAATTTAATTCGAATTCTAGGATCATGTATTTCGATGCAGTTTCGTCCTCTTAGCTGAATGGTTTGGTCGTAAAGCTTTCATCCTCATTCAGAACGACAACTTCTACCCGAAGTTTATGCTGATGATGTCGTTCAGCTCAGAGAACAAAATTCCATCAAAATCACCTACGTGATCTACAAATCTTTTCCACCATCTCAAAATCATACAAGCGTAGTATGTTTCTCGTTGTTCGAAAATGGAAGAATTTCGCCAAAAGGCAATCATTCACTCGAGAACAACTATATTTTCTCCACGAGTATCATGTATTTCAGTTAACTGAAAAATTTGGTGGGTTCGTTTAGTGTAAATATTCTCAATTTCAGAATCTGAAGTTTCATTAGTTTATATTTATTAGATTGATAGCTAACTCAAACTATGTGACTGTCGAGTTCATCTGTAATTCCAAGTGAAATTTCTTCATGTTTCAAAAGATATTACATAATCCATTAATGAATGACGTCAGTCATGACATAAACCTGCCTTATTGAAATGTCAGAAGAGGGTTTTGTGGATATTATAGTAATTTTAATAATTGAGATCATGAGTCAATTGAAGCTCATCCACCATGATAAACCTGAAAGCACTGGACAGTTGTTTCGTACTACTGTAGGACTCCTCAGCAGTGCTCACGTATGATTCCGCCTCGCGATAGTCGAACCCAGGATGCTCGTTCTATCGTGAGAACGCTTAACCTTTAGACCGTTGAGCCGGTTAGCATCCAACGGTCTTAATGTCTAACTTCAACTAATCCAAGAATTCGAACAACACATCCACCATTGTCTTCAGTGAGTTAATATCTCACCATTGAAATATCTTTATCTACTTACAGTCGATCGTTCAACTGGTCACCAACAAAAACAACAAAGATATTAGTTATTGTATCGATTCATGGTGTAAGTGGGTGTTCCTTTTTTGTTTCACATATCACAATGATGTTCAGTTGTAGATCATTGTAGAAATGACCCCCAAAATTTTCTTGCTTGTAACAGCTTAGTAATTAGATGAACTAATATTGAAATCTACACATAGATTTATGTAAATCAAGGTAACATGAAAAATCCACACTAAAGTGTAACCTTGACAACATGACATATTAGAGAGTGTTGTTATGGTTACAACCTGTAAAATATTATAAAATGCCAGCACAGAATTGATGAAATCAATTTTCATCCATAAATTATCCTTACTGATTGATTACGTAAGTAGTTTTATTATGTTTAAGCCATCATGTTTTGAAGAGCACTGGATTCTAATTAGTTAGCATATACTTTATTTATGAGATTAGTGGTGCAAATTTCTGTCTAGATTTCTTTGTAATACTTAACTCTCAAGCACTTAGTGACGGGCACTAAAATAGATTTCCTGGATTTGTAGTGAGAAACTGTGACTGATGGAGTTCAATCTGTGTCGGATAGAGATAGGTATCTATCTCGGACAATGAATGATTGATTGCACATGATCATGGATTGATTGATGTTAGAAATTAACATTTCCAGATCCCAACTCAGTGGTCTAGTGGTAAAAAATTCGAACGCGGGACTGACGGTATTCGGTTGGGTTCCCGAGTGCGGGATCATGGATGCGCACTATTCAGGAGTCTCATACTGGGACTAAACGACAGTCCAGTGCTTTTACGTTTTCAATGGTTATCTAGGTTAGATTGACAAATGAATTCAACTATTAAAGTAATTACAATCTCCATAAAAACCATTTTGAATTTTGTTTGATTACGCTACGATAATAGATTGTTAATTGTTGATAATTAGTGCACAGAGCAGTTCAAGGTGTCTTGAGATGCTTTCAAGCTAAGAAATTGAGATAGATATTGACTAAAGTATGAACATGTCTTTTTAAGTTCACTTGATATTCCCTTCGATGTTTACGACTGCAGTTGATCAGTCTCTTATTGGCCTATGTGCATAATGTTCGTATAGCCTTGATATAGACTTGATGCACAAGCATTACAAACAAAGATGGATGGTGGCTAGCAGTGGAATCCAGGAAGCGCCTCTCGTTCTATTTGGGACTCATCATCTGGATGTACCTGCATCTCGGAATCGATGTCCACTCCGGGACTCGAACCTAGTACTTTTCGCTTAGAATGCCATCACGTTATCCACTCGGCCACTGAGTCCTGAATTAAGGCTATATCGAGGCAATACGCATAGTATTCACATATGCCAATTAGAGGCTGATCAGTTTCAGTCCTAACACATAGATGGGAAGATTCAAATAGACAATACTAAGTAAAAAAAATTTTGGTACATATTCATATTAAGTCTAATGGTTATTCTTTCTTTACAAAAAGATCACTTTAGAATGAATACATCTTCAACAAGACTGAATTCCAAACCAAATGAATTAGAAACAGTAAATGAAGAATCCGCAGTGAAAGATTTAAATACCAGATCATCTACTGATGATCTATTCAATCAAGAAAGAAATTCTAGATTAGATATATTATCAAAAGCAAAAGGTGTTAAAAGATTATCATTGATAAAACATTCAAGTAAGTTGTTATATGAAATTTAATAGTTGAGATTATGAGTTAATTGTTGTTAGATCATTATGGGAAACTTGGAAGTAGTAGACGGCCGGATCGTCGTAGTGAAGGAATCCTCAGATGTGCTCATTCACGACCCTGTCTTGTGAGATTCGAACTCTGGATCTATCAGTCATGCATGAGAACGCTTAATCTTTATGGTGGTTTAGCTTCGATTAACTCATGAATTCAACTATTAAATTACTATAATATTTACAAAACCCTATCTCTGATTATTATATAAGGTTTAGCGCACGTGCGCGCTCAACCTTATGTCCTGGATTCGAATCTTACGGGGCGAATAGAATTATGTGAAGGAGTCACTTGATTATATCTATTAATATAAGCTTAAATAATATGGATGTTCATGTTTGATAACATGTCGATGATCTGAAAATATGGTCATTACTTGATATCGAATAAGGTTTACAGTTACCATAGCACATATACTAATAATCAGTAAAGAGATTGGTTTATTTTATATAGTTGAGATCATGAGTCAATTGAAGCTAGACCACCATGGAAAACCTAGAAGCACTGGACGGGAGTTTCGCCCTCAGCAATCCACATCCACGATTTCGCCTCGCGAGATTCGAATCCAGGACTTATCAGTCTCACGCACGAGCACTTAATAGAAAAACCACTAAGTCAGTTGGCATCCAACATCTGATTCAAAGGTAGCTTACACAAAATCGATTACAGTAATAACAACACTTTGTGGAACATGGGAATAAGTGATGACATAATTGTGATTAAGAATTAGATTGTATTGAATCTAGTGACTTAATATTTGGCTAGTTAAGATGAAAATGAATGTAAGTGTGAAGTATTGAATAGAACAACTGAAATTTAATGTCATTAAATGACCGTAGGAAGCTTCCAAGTGTGAGTCAGCTATAGAAGAAACTTGAGTATCTGTCGGTAATTCAATTCTAAACATTTGATCATATCGAACTGAGATTTGATGTTGTTTGAATATCCGTAATTTACACAACTTAATATCGTAATGGAAGTAAGTAACACACGATGTGTTGGATTACTGTGAATCCTATGTTCAAATAACAGTAACTCACAAAATGTCGTTGAGACAGGACGTTCATTCGATCAAACGATTCGTTGCATTGAACGAAATTTCACTCTAACAAGAATAATGTTTCTCACCAAATGAAACTGAACCAATTTTTGGTCAAATGTAGAGCACTCATTTATACTATTCATATAACTGAATAACTGACTTCAAGAAATATTTCCTTGAGTTCTAGTAGGAAGCAGTGATCAGTGAAGTTCTACCAAGTCTGTTGTAGAGATATCAACTCACTGAAGAGAATTGGTGAACAGTTGCTTAATTTCGTGAATTAGTTGAAGTTAGACACTAACACCGTTGGATGTCGACCGGCTCAGTGGTCTATCGGCCAAGTGCTCTGGCGCGAGACTGGTAACTCCTGAGTTGGAATCTTGCGAATGCGGGATTGTGGATGCGCACTGCTGAGGAGTCCCACAATAGGACGATGGTGGCCTAGCTTTAGTTGACTCATGATTTCAAGAGTGAAAATACTAAATTCTCCGGAAAACCCATTCTGATCTATTCATATAACAATCAATCGTACATTAAACCTATTCAATATTGTTCGTCAAATGTATTTACTATCTTCTTATTCACATAGTCTCTGAACAATCTCAACCACAAACTCCAGTCAGTTGTCCAAATCGTTCACCATTATCCTGTCTCAATGCTTCAATCAATGGTCCAACATCTGCAGTTGAAACAAATAAAATATTAACTTTTCGAGATATCGATCATCCAACAGTTGGTATCACTAGTAGGAAGATCAGTCAAAATAGTCAATCATCATTATCATCCTCTCTAACATCATTGATAAATACTAATCGACCACCATTGTCATTATTAGGTATTCTGGCGGCTAAACGGATCACACGAAAATTTCTATCGACATTGACTGATGAGAAACATCAAAGACGTTTGAGTACATTCAGTAGATTATGTAAGTTTTTGCAATCTTCATTTATAACAGAATCTTCTGCTAATATACTGTGAGTAGTTATTTGTATAACGTATAATTATGTTGAATGGTTATATACTCTTATCCTAAACAGCCATTATAATATAGAACAATATGGTCGGTTTTAAGCTACCATATTGTTTAATGTCAAAGTCTAATTCATTTCCCGAAACATGTCCGGATTCTATACCTCTCACTTATGTTGTTGATTCTGTTGAGTGATCAACGACGATGTTTGTTTAATTCTAATTGGTTATGATTGTAAAGTCATGATTGTGATACCCCTTTTCGTGCAAGATTTCAATTCTCAAAAATGTAACACATTTTATCTCTAAATGTAGTTCATTAGGCATAATTGTAGTGAACGAGAACACCAGTGGGAATAATCGACTGAATTTGAATGCACAAGTACAGAAAATCTTAGTATATTCTAATAACCATACAGTGAATACTTAATTTGAAAAATATCCATCAGTTGTCTGAAACTTGACTGTTCCCTATTGCAAATATCAGTTAATCGTCTCAGACTTCCATACAAATGACTTTCTGTTCCATTCTTTCCTTCTTGACCTTATTCTGACAGAGATACTAATCCTGAATACCGTTATTTACTACTTACTTACTTTCGCCTGTAACCCCTCGTAGAGGAGCATAGGCCACCCACCAGCATTCTCCGTCAAACCCTGTCCTGGAAAATCTTTTCCAGTTCTTTCCAGTTAAACTTCATCCTTTTCATATCTACTTCTATTTCCCGACTCATTGTTTTATTTGGCCTTCCTCTCTTCCGCTACTGATCCGGATTCCAAGTTAGCGATTTCCTCGTGATGCAGTTTGGCAGTTTCCATAATGTATTTCCTATCTATTTCCAACGTCTTTTCCTAATTTCCTCTTCAGCTGAATGATAGTTTATCCTCTGCCATAAAACGCTGTTGCTGATCGTATCCGGCCAGTGAATGTTGAGTATTTTGCGTAAACAACTGTTTATAAATACTTGTACCTTCTAGACGATGGATGTAGTAGTTCACCACGTTTCAGCTCCGTACATTAGAACTGTCTTGATGTTCGTATTGAACATTCGCACTTTGATATTGGTAGAGAGTTGTTTTGAGTTCCATCTGTTCTTCAATTGTAGAAATGCTGCCCTTGCTTTGCTAATCCTCACCTTTACATCTACATCTGATCCACCTTGTCTATCAATGATGCTTCTCAGGTACGTGAATGTTTCCACCTCTTCCAGAGTTTCACCATAAAGTTTGATTGGGTCGGTGTTCTCCGTGTTGTATTTGAAAATCTTGCTTTTTCCTTTGTGTACTCATGTCGATATAAGTAAAACACACCACATAATTACTCTATTATTACGAAAGAAATATAACTTCTCACAGATACCAGAATTCTCATTCCCTGATATTAAATTAGACACTTGATTCATCTCAAACAACCCAGTGATTGGAATCTCAATGTACAGTGTACCGAAGTATCTTAAGATTTCAATATTTTAACCATAAGTATAAGTCTCATTCAAAACGATCAAACAGCATATTACACCAAGAAATGGAAGCAGATGTGTCAGGAACGAATATCAACTGAATAAAACTAGAAAGGAAGGCTCAAGACAGAGAAAGTTTGAGAATACTGTTCAGCGGTCTATGCTCTATTGTAGGTAACAGACCTACTTCAGTACCAGTACTCTAGGAATGAAATGATCATAGGTTGAGTACATGAAGCATACTTTTCAAGTATTCCTTCTTTTTGATTTCGATTTCTTTAGCCTCTTATAGTCCAGCATCATACAATCTAATCAATTATCTACCAACATTTCAATTAGGTCCAAAAGAAGTATTCAATATAAGTAGTATAAAACCTAGAATAGAACAATTAATTGAATCACGTATTGAATCACTTCCATTATTATATGAACGTTTTAAAGCTAATCGTTTATGTATTACATTGACAAATGAAATTAAAGCAATGCTTAAAGCTCATGGTGAAGAAAGGTTAGTTTAATGATAATCTTTCTCTTTATTAATAATGATATGATTGTACTATAATCAAGGGACGAGTATACTGTGCAGCAGTTCACTCTGTTCTACTTTATGAATGACTGTGAAACGTGGCCATTAGAGGACAGAATACTCGTAGGTTACTAGTATTTGACCACAGATGTCAGAGAAATATTGCTCACACCTTCTGGGATCACCGGGTAAGTGATAGTGAGGTTTGGACACAGGGTATTAGGGAATAACGGCAAATCAGTTGATAAGATTGTGATTGTCCAACGACTGAGATAGTTGGGCCACATGTTACGTATACCTCAACACCGATTATCAGGACACGCAATGCTGACTAGTATTGGCGATGGTTGTAAGAGAGTTAGGAACGGTCAAACCAAAACGTGGCATTAGTGCTTGAAGTCACTAACTTCTAGTCTGAACCATGTTGGTAGATGCAGACTACTTGGTTGAGGTCAACGTGATTATCGTAACCAATGGTTGGAGACTCTAGGTGACATGACTCAGAATCGATCACAATGACGTAAGTGTATACACTCTTTATCTTCATTTAAACCTTGAGATTAGAAGTGCTTCATATCTATCTTTCTTTCTGTACTATAGCCTTATACACAATCTTTCTCTTATATATTATCACCCCTAAATTAAGTACTTCTATGAATTCAGTGTTCATCTTGTTGTGTTAATGAGTGAGATATGGAAACTTGGACCGATGAATATATGTGCCTGGTACTACGTTATAGCTGACTAACTGACTTATGAATGATATCATAAACAGAAAAGTGAATATGATCAATATGGCCAACGTATAAATGCGTTAACTTGCCAAAATCGTTGTTGGTAGATTTTACTTGAAAAAATGATCGATATTTTACCAGTCTGATCTAAACTGGAGTTTCGATCATTCTCTATTACTCTGTAGTTATTGGTTTACGTTATACGATTACAGCGATTTCATTGTCATGATTTGATCTTAGAATCAATAACTTCTTAAGGAAGTCTTCTCAGTATTTGACATTTGTCCCCTCTTTACTTATGACATATATGTAGCATCCATTTTCGATAGTGGAGTTGAAAAGAAAGCCTAGTTTCATCATCCGGTAAATAGAAAGTCGGCTACAAACATATTTCCCCCTAATAAATAAAATAATATCAATAGTATATATCAAGTATTTGATTAAGGTAAGAGTGGTACTGGTTGAATATTTCATCATTAGTTCGTTTGAAGAAATCGCCTTAAAATGGTAGGAATTACGGGGCACAAATAGATGATATTCAAAGTGTTCGATTTGGGACTCGAACCCAGTAGCCTTCGCTTCTAACGCCATCGCGTTATACACTCAGTCACTGAGTCCTAATAGCCACTTGCTTGTGCAAATAGTGCTTCAATATTTATTTTATAATGAAAAACACTCAGCTCACAATTCCGAAATAGGACAAAACGCGCGTCAAACTGGATTCCACTACTATCCATTATTCATCTTTGCTTATGATGTTTGTAGATGAAGGCTATATGAATGCAATACGCACAATATACATATATGCCAATAAGGGACTGACCAGTTGCAGTCCTAAACATCAAGTTACCATCAGGACTTAATGGCCGAGTGCATAACGCGATGGCGTTTGAAGCTAAAAGTATTAGGTTTGAGTCCCACAATGAACATCAACTGTGAGATGCAGGTACATCCAGCTGACGAGTCCTAAATAGGACGAAAGGTGCGTCCTGGATTTCACTGCTAGTCAGTATCCGTCTTTAATTAACTAACTACCAATTTGTATATCTTTTTTTTTCCAGATATCGTTATTTAGTATTTTGTGTTGTTATGCAAAATTGTAAACAACTCTCAGGATTTACCAGTCGAGTATTATGGGATATGAATTATGATCGTTCATTTTGTATAAATCAAACAAATACATCATATTCTATATCAGTAAATTGTTTTATTGTATACAAAGAATAAAATATATTGTATACTTTCTCAGAATATTTTGATTTCATCTTCTTTTGTTATGATATAATCCTATGGTTATAATGGTATGAAGTGGACAGTTGATGTATTCATGTTATACTAGCAACAAAACTGTCACTCACTGAAGACAATGGTGAGTTGAAGTTAGACATCAACACCGTTGGATGCTAACCGGCTCAGTGGTCTATTTGTAAAGGGCTCTGGCTCGAGACTGGTAGGTCCTGGGTTCGAATCTCGCGAGTGCGGTATCGTGTATGCGCACTGTTGAAAAGTCCCATAAAGGAATGAAACGGCCGTTCAGTGCTTCCAGGTTTTTCATGGTGGTCTAGCTTCAATTGAATCAAGCTTTCAACTATGAAATTACTAAATCTCCGCAAAACCCCTTCTGATAATTATTACATGTATTAATTAACTGTTGTCTACGCTAAATACTTCGGATTCCTTGATCAGACACAATCAGTAACAACCTACTGTGAGAGAGAACAAACCACATTCAACGAAATCAGGAAGAAGTTCTGAAATTGGATAGGACACACATTGAGGAAGCAACCAACTGCGTCCTTAAGTTCAAAAGAGAAGAGGAAGACTGGAAAACATATTACACCAAGAAATGAAAACAGATATGAGAAGAATGAACAACAACTGGATAGAAATAGAAATGTAGGCATGAGACAGAGTGGACTGGAGAATGGTAGTCGACGACCTATGCTACATTGTGCGTAACTGGCGTTAGTAAGTAAATAATCTATTATAATGTCATTGCTGAATGAATCTGCTGAACGACCATTAACTATCTTTGCTTAGTTCTAATGAATGATGATTTCAATTAAAATGACACACACTGATGAAGAATATTTCCATCATATTTTTAGTTGCAAATGTTGAGAATGATCGATTAATCATTCAGGGGGTTACTACTAAATATTTGAATAATCACTAAAGAGTGATACAGATTCATAGGTTAGTGACGTTTGACGATGGTAATGAAAACGAGTTACCAACTACAGAGTGACGAATATAAGCTGAAGATGATGTGAATAGATAAAATAACCACAATCCTTGTTACAGAGGTTGTAAATTAAGAAAATAACACAGATCTAAATCATAAAATAATATATTCAGTGAAGTAGTCCTTTTCAACGACCTAATTTTCAAAGATGTACCACGTCGAATGAAAGATAGTTATCTAAAGCAGGTAATAGATAAAATTTGAGAAATACAGCGAATCGATTGGATCTAAACATATAAACCATTAGAGGTCAGCTCACTGATCGAGAATCTAGGTGTTCGTGCATGAAACTGAAGGTCTTGGGTTCGATTTCTGGGTATGGGATGATGACGGCATTGCTTAGCATTTAATATCTAGTCCTATGTCAATCTCACATGGATTATTCTAACTTCTGGACACACTAATTTATTCATTCAGATACTTACTTACGCCTATTACCCGCACACCATCATTCTGCATCCAATCCCGGCTTGAGCAATCCTATCCAGTTCTTTCCAAATGTAATTCATCCTTTTCATATCTGCTTCTATTTCCCAGTGTAATGTGTTCTTTGACCTTCCACTATTCTGCTTCAAATATCTAGATTACAATAAGTAAATAATCTTAATACAAGAGACTGTTCTTAATCTTTCATTTATATCTTACTAAAATAGGTCATACAAATAAAAAGTAAAAGCAGGCTTACTATTACAATCTAATTAAGATAATATAGTTGAATTCATGTGTCAATTGAAGCTAGACTACCATAGAAAACCTGGAAGCACTGGAAGGCCTTTTCATCCTAGTATGTGGCTTCTCAGCAGTGCACATCTACGATCCCGCCTCATGATATTCGAACCCAGGAACTAAAAGTCTCGCGCGCGAGCGCTTAACTTGTAGAACACTGAGCCAACTGGCATTCAACGGTGTTACTGTCTAACTTCAATTGACTCATTAATTCACCCGATGATATTCAATGTTCATTAATGACCTAGATATGAAAATAGAACCAATGAATAAACTGTATTAAGTGTATTCATTACTCATCATAAAACTATTTAATACAATACAAAGTTTTACGTCATTCTTGATCTTTTATTATTCGATGTATCTATCCATTTAACTTCACTATAAAACAATTCCTTTGATCTACCGAAATCTTTAAAGCTTTGGAATCATGCATATTTTAATGGTGAAAATGTTGTATTCTATGAAAGGGAGGTTTTCGTGGATATTATTATAGTTTATTAGTTGAGATGATGAGATCGTGGATGTACACGACTGAGGAGTCACATACTAGGACGAAACGCCCCTATCCAATGCTTCTAGGTTTTCCATGGTGATCTAGCTTCAAGTGACTCGTGATCTCAACTACTAAATGGTGTATGTCTCATATAAATGAGAAAACCATATTATCACTGAATCAATTGTCTATAAATATCAATAATATGTCTTCATAATGGTTTCAATTGGGGAGCGTCTGATGTATGCCGCTATCGAAAATTCTAAGAATTCGTGTTTAAGTTAATTTGTATGTTCTTCCTATACAATTGTTTTGTTGTAACTGATTGGGTTATGTAGTAACTTACAAAATTAAAGGAAAATTCAAGGTTTGATTTCATGTTCCAAGACGGTTGTTTCTTACTTTTACAGATTCTTATACTCTGACGAAATAACTACCAAGTGCACGTAGGTTTCCGATTATGTTTTAGCTAAGATCAATCAGTGATTTAGGATATGAAAGTCTTATAAGGCTTACGAATCTTCCTACAGTGGTAAAACTAGAAGGTTACATCAAGTCACACTTTCAAATCGATAAAGCTCATTTGCACAACATGGAATAAAATACGGCTTCAATCTTTAAAAACAGCAATATCATATTTGTCACTATTTTGAACGTGGAAAAATCACTCCTGAAACTGTACATACTGAATGAATACAATTTCTTTTGTGAATACAAGTAGGTAGGACTTTCATAATTCTAAGACTTCATAGAGCCTAATTACTCTTGACAGACAACATCCGTTGTTTTGTCACTTTGTACGAACTCTTATACTCTCAGTGGTTCCGTTTTGAAAACTTTGGCACAATCTTGGTATTATTTTGATACCATGAGATCACCAATAAATGCATCTTAACTACAACCTTCTCTTCACTTCTGATATTTGTCCTACGAAAGGATCTAAACTAATAACTGGCAAGTAGTTCGCTGTAGTGGTGATCATAGTCAACCGCAACTGGACACCTCCTACAAAGGTATATAAACTAACTCATTGTAATCAAATGTTACTCAATATTTACAATCAAATATTTGATGAGCAATATGAGAAATGCTACATGCATACGTTTACATAAAATTAGTCAAAATGAATAAGCCAATTATTACCAATTTTAAAAATATGTCTGTAGTGTTAGGTTACTTATATCCACATAAGTAGTATATGGTGATGATCAAGCATAGAATGTATTTCAGCAAAAGATGGATAACGAAAGAACAGAAACGAAGCGCAATTTGTATGAAAATGCATGAACAATGAAATCAGAGACGATGGACTTATATTTACAGAAGGAACAGTGAAGATTGAGACAATTGATTGATAGTTTGAAATAAACTATTTACTGTATGATTCTTTAATAGGCCTCAACATACACAAAAACTCTTGAACAGGTAGAAACATTCACGTACCTGAGAAACATCACTGATAAGCAAGGAGGATCAGATGTAGATGTAAAGGTGAGGATTAGCAAAGCAAGGGCAGCATTTCTACAATTGAAGAACAGATGGAACTAAAAACAACTCTCTACCAATATCAAAGTGAGAATCTTCAATACGAACATCAAGACAGTTCTAATGTACGGAGCTGAAACGTGGTGAACTACTACATCCATCGTCCAGAAGGTACAAGTATTTATAAACAGTTGTCTACGCAACATACTCAACATTCACTCGCCGGATTCTATCAGCAACAGCGTTTTATGGCAGAGGATAAACTATCATTCATCTGAAGAGGAAATTAGGAAAAGATGTTGAAAGTGGATCGGACATACATGAAGGAAATCACCAATGTGCATTACAAGGCAATCCCTTACTTGGAATGGTGAAAGGAAGCGGAAGAAAGGAAGGTCAAAGAACAAATTGAGTCAGGAAATAGAAGCAAATTTGAAAATGATGAATGTTAACTGCAAGAAACTGGAAAGGATTCTACAGGACAGAGTTGGATGGAGAATGCTGATGGGTGGCCTATGCTCCTCCACGAAGGGTAACAGGTGTAAGTAAGTATGGTTCTCAAATTTTACTGAGATATTTTGTACTCAAATACATTCGATTGTCACAATCCATCTTCTCGTTTACTACATAACTACTAATGAATAAATTGTACTGTCCAAAAGCTAGAATAAGTTATAAAGGTTTACCATAGGCATATAACCTTATCATGATACGTATGAATAATCTGTTATGGGATTTATTGATCAATCAATTATCGATCAAGTAATCGATTTTTTCACCAAATTGAAAGGAGAAACAGACAAATAGGATTGAATGAACTTCGTTGAGATGCACTCAAAATTAAATATTACTCACATCCACACACACACACACATACACACGCACATGCACGCACATACAGATCCTATCAGATCATTGATCCCTAAATCAATACAAACAAATAATGAATACAACTCATCCAGGACATAAAAAAGAAGTAGAAGAAGGAGAAGGAGAAGGAGAAGAAGTCAACGTGGACGACGACTAAAAAAGAGGAGACAAAAACGAAAGAAGGAAAATATAATCCATCCTTCGTTCCTCTCGGAATTCTAAAACATGAATAAGATCCCTTTCTAGTATCCATTATATCATATATCTAATGAATATACCGAATCCATGTATAACCATTAGTCCATATCAAAGTACATCTCATTCAGTTTATTTAAATAAGAATAATATCAAAATATCTTCTATAAGAAGATACTCCGCCATTTATCCAATTAAGAATACATTATTAATTCATCATAAAGATAAACAATATAAAAGTCCAAAAATCAATAAATTGAAATGTATTCCACGATCTTTCAACAATGATCCTGATCATCAAGATGATCATAATGATGAATATGTATTAAATGCTCCAAGACCATCATTAAAATTCAATGAAGATAATATATTATTTGTAAAGAAAGAGAATTTATCTAAATTTAATGAAGAGTTATTGAATGAAAATGATCTAGATCCATTCCATAAAGAACCAATTTCATCAACACCATTTTATAAATCTACTACAAAATCACACCATAAAGGATCTTTATTCAATTTAGCATTAATTGGTGCACCAAGACTTGCTTTAAATGTTTCATTTCAAAATACTCCTACTACTACTACTACTACTCATACTACTTATACTACTACTACTACTACTAATAATAATAATAATATCATTGAAGGGTTAGATCATTCAAATTGTTCACCAAAAATGACTTCCAGTACATTTTCCTCTTATAATCAAGGAAGTCGTCATGATGATAATGATGATAACGTCGACGACGATGATGGAAACTATGCAAATGAATTATCCGATATTGTTAATAATGAACTTGTCAAACCAACTAAAATCTCTCATACCTATAATCCATTATCAAATGAGACAAGTTTAATGATATTTCGTTGTAGAATATGTTTAGATGAAAATGATCATAATAATGAAACAGAAAGTTTATTATCACCATGTCGATGTAAAGGTACAGTTGGTTTAGTACATAGAAAATGTCTTGAGAAATGGTTATTAACATCAGGTAAACCTAATTGTGAACTATGCGGTTATGCTTATATCATGACACCATCGAAACGGCATTCATCGCAATTCTCCACTCTAAATCAGATTAGACGTTTCAGCAATGAATTAAGAAGTTTACGTGATTGGTTAAGATGGGAAAGAACACGAAGACATTTAATAGCTGATATTATATGTATGATATTACTTACACCAGCTACTTATATTGGTGTATATTTTTGTGTGATTGGTGCATTTGGTTATGCTGAATTGAATCCATATTCATGGCAAGTATTTGGTTTATGGGGATTAGCCGTGATTTTAGTTCTATTATTGACTATATGGATGATATTAGCTATTCGACATCATTTAGGTAATTATCGTAGTTATCAACATCATCAACAACAGATGGCATTAGTTGAAGCCAATCGTTTATCTGCATTACCTAGATATCGATTTTCAATACAACCAAGACCACGTGGATCATCGGTTGTTTTATATACGATACATAGAGAACAAGAATCCTCTCCTTTGACAAAACATGAAACACAAGTATCAATGAATTCAAGTATAGAAAGTTTAGATATCAATTCATTGAATAATCAAGGAGAAGAATCATCATGTTCCAATAAGTATACAAATGGAAATCAAAAAATAGTTGTTTCTGTTGAATTAACTACTGTCCCGGAAGTCGTTGAAGAAATGTCCACTTCAAATAATAAAGTATCTTTTGAAAATATAGTTTGATACATGTTTCAATGCTGAATCATTTCGAATTGTCTGTTTTTTTTTCTTTATTTTTCAAATATAGACATTATCATCATGGTACATTCAACTGTAGTTTTTTTTTTCTTCTACAATAGTTATACACGTTATGTGAATGTGTATATAAATGGTGTGAATGGTCCATCAGAGTGCTTGGTATCTGAGTAGTTGCGCCACATGATTGGGCTGTACTATTTACTTGTGTTTGTCTTGTTTTGCTTCGATTCGATTTTTTTCGACTCTGAATTCATTTCTGTATTTGCTTGCTCGTACGCATTAGCCTCTCTGATCAAGTTCACTCATTGTGCTTGTAAATTTGTTATCTGTGCTATCCAATAATAAACTATAGTTGTCACTTCATATTGCTTTCTGAATTCATATATCGTTGGAATTTATTTAATAACTGTTATCAGCGTGATTGATAAACGAAGCCTAAGGAATTACCTTAAAGTCAAGTCACGACAAACCAGTGACTATCTAAACTCTTTACCCAGGTGCACAACACGATGACATTTGAAGAGAAAGGTACTGGACTCAGAACCCGGGTTAAGTGTCAACTTTGAGACCACCATTGAAAACCTAGAAGCATTTGACGGCCATTTCGACATAGTATGGGGCTTTTTAGTAGTGAAAATCCACGATCCCGTATTTGGGATTCGGACACAGGACTTTCGGTTTCATACGCGAACGCCTAACCTCTTGCCATGATCAGTGAAGCTAATCCGTTGCACTTGTATGAATATGTGTGCTTGAGCATTGCTTACTTCTTACTCATATAATCAATCTGTTAGCTTTACTATTAGTCGCTTAATTGATTCGATGATTCATTCATTTTCATATGTATATATATGTACATTTTAGTCCTGCTCACTGACACGTTGACTCGCACACTCGCTCATTGACTCGATCACTCGCTCGCTTATTCCACTCGCACGCTCACTCGCTTGCTTTACGACGCCACTCTTTCATGCTTGCTTAACGTGCCTGTAACTTTGGATATCTGTGCCTCGTCCAATAATAAACGCAATTAACACTTCGTATTCGCCTTCTGATTTATAAACCGTTGGCGCGATATCGAGTGACGGTTATTAGGACGAACAACATAAGACATTTAAAGATAATATAAAATATTGACCATTACAAGATAGAAAGTTCATTCTAACAATTCAGTCGATCAAATGACGACTTGCATAATTACGCCTGTTTCACCCCTCCGTGGAGGGCTACAGATTACCCACCATCACACGGATTGATAAATTCTTTCTGAATTAAACCTAGAAAAGAAATAAAAAATCTAATCCACTTTCAAAAACTTCAATTCTCTTTATTCTAATTCCTTCATTATCAACTCAATGTCTATCGTCATTCATGACATAATATATAAAAACAAAAACAAAAATAAACGAAGAACCGTCGATAAGCTACCTAAATTATTCATACGATTTAATATCCGAATGACACTTTCTATACAATAATTCAATGATAAAACCAAAAAAAGATGTTATATTTATAATTTCTTTTAAAAATTATTACCATAGCAACATTCTCTCATAGTAACATGATGTTAAGTTTTGCAGTTTAGTATAGATTACCCATGTTATATTGATTTGTATCAAGATATATTTAAGTAATTGAATAACATTTGTATGTGGATAATGAGCAAATATGGATGGTAGCTAGCAGTGGAATGCAGGATTCGTGTTTTGTCCTATTCGGGACTTGTCAGCTGGATGCAATTGCATCTCAGAGTTGATGTTTATTCAAGGACTCGAATCCAGTACCATTCACATCAATTGCCACTATATTATCTACTTAATTACTGAATCCTGATAGCCATTTGCTTGAGCGATGGGGTTACCATTTATGTGAAATTTCAAAAAAAACACATTTATATCATGACTGATAATTTGTATTCAGGAATTATGAATTATGATTCTGAAACATGAAGAAGCTATTAACCAAGAAAACGAAAGCCTATGTGCTACTGATGTCAATAGATATAAGTAGTATGTATCATCAATCGAAAGTGGATTGTCTGACGTCAGAAGAGTTAGAAGATCGAACAAAAGAGAACGAGAACAGAGAGTGATTGGTGTGGAAACGAAGGAACAGTCAGGTGTGAGACAATTGATTGGTATTTTTCAAACGAAGTGTACACTGTATGGTTGCGAGATTTTACTAAGAGATTCTGTAATTTTGTATCCAAATACATTTGGTTGTCCCCGTTAACTACAATACGACCTCCAATTACAGACACCGACTTATTCGACCAGACCAATGACACATAAGCCTACATGAAGAGTTTAGAATCCTGGTTGGTCCACTGAGATAATAACTTCTTATCTAACTCAGTCGGTTCAGTGCAGAACGTCAATATCAGCCTCCTCGATGTGAATCGTGTATTTCAGACGAATATATACAAACAAACCAGACCGTATCACACTATTAATAGAAAATAACGATTATACACGATCAAGCCAAAAACTGGTTGTAATTGTGAGAAACTCTGACTAATAAATTGGATATATCTCAATAATAATAGTCAATAAGTCAAATGGAAGCTCATAATTTAATGAATATGAACATACACTTAATGTAGGTACTTAATTATCCTTTTTATAGTTGAAATCATGAGTCAATTGAAGCTAGACTACTTTGGAAAACCTGAGAAAACTGAATGGCCGTTTCGTCTGATTGTGGGACTGCTCATCACTGCGCATCCATGATACCATAAGAATATGTGTATAATATTAGTCCATAAGTACATCCTAACGGTTACCATATAACACTTTTGTATAACGCTAGAGGTCGCTAACCCCATGCTCAACCCTCCTCCTTTACACGGGCTGGAGACCGGAAGTAACTCCAAAAGAGCTACAAGCGTAGTTTTGAATTTTGATTGTAAATACCTAATTTTGAAACAAAGCTTTTTACATTTTCATCCATATAGTTACAATGTACTTTTGGATTATAATTGATGTCAATCTATGAGAATAATCTTTACCATCGACTCCTTATATTTAACTCGCAACCCGAATTTAGCACAATAGAGGGACACTGAAGAATCGAATTGAGTCCTTATAAGGATTTGAAAAGATTGATAATTTAAAACTACAAGGAAGAGTATTGCGGTGATGCTGAAAATTCCTCTAAGAAAAGCCAAAAGAGGTTCTGAAAACTTTGAGGAACATCTTATCCATTCATCATTCAATAGAATTTTCGCCACAAACATCTGGAAAGTGAAAAGTCACATGTTGCATTTTTGATTGGATGGTTACTTATACTGTCACTATGTTTAGTAGCGTTCCGAAATTTTCTGGGAGCTTAAGGTCATCTAAAATACTATAAATACGTTGGATTTTATGTACATAAACGAACCTTGGAGAAAAGGGTTTCTCCTCTATTTCGCACCTTTTCACTCGTGTTCAAGTCGCTGTTTACATTCAGCCTCTTGGGTACTAGAAGAGCTTAGGAACCGAAGCTAGCGTTTAATTAAAGGACTTATCAAAGAGTTTAAATGTGTTCTTGTTTCTTCCCTCTATGGAGAACTTATAGAACCAACAAATATTTAAAATCGGTCTAGAATTATTGGTATTATGGTTACCTTTCCAGTAATTTATCCAATTACAATGTATTCACTTAGTATTGTTCGTTTGAATCTTCCCATTGATACTTAGGACTGCAACTGATCTGTCTCTTATTTGCATATGTGCATCCTGTGCGTATTGTCTCGATATTGCTTGAAGTCACAAGATTTAAAAGAAATGATGAATAGTGGTTAGTAGTGGAATCCAGTTTGACGCACGTTTCGTCCTATTTGTGACTGGTCAGCTGGATTTAACTGCATCTCAGACTTGTTGATGTTCATTCTGAAACTCGAATCCAGTACCTTTCGCTTCAAACGTCATTATGTTATCCACTCAACTACTGAGCCCTGATAGTTAGTTGCTTGTGCAATGGGATGATAGATAATTAATCGAAGTTGTTTAAAACTGATCGCCATACTATACTGCTACTGTATTTCATTTACAATGATTCCCTACTACGTATACGGAGGGTTCAATACAACCATATAAAAAACAACTATAAATACAACCATATTTATGTTATGTATAATTCGTGGATTGATTGAAGTTAAACATTAACAGTGTTAAACATCAACTTAATGAATTGTCTAGAGGTTAAGCGTTCACGTGAAAGATTGACAAGTCCTGGGTTCGAGTCCTTCTGGATGAACCTTGTTGAAGAAATTCCACATAAGACAAAAAAAAACCTTCGTCTAATCTTTCCAGGTTTTCAACAATGATCTAACTTAGCTTAGATCAGTTCTAATTTGTCTAGTATCAATCCTATTTAAGAGAATAAATATTGACTCAATTAAATGAATATATACATTTCTCTTTGAATAGACAAAATATTTTTCACATTATTCATATCATATTATTCAATTTGGCATTATCAGTAGTCTATAAATTGTATATATATATATATATATATACGTCATCATATTCTTAATTCTGATGAATAACCCCCCCTCTCCCCCTACCTCCCAAAAAAAATGATTCAAATGTAAAATGTATACCTGACAACAATAATCTACATGTAACTATGCAAGTTTTTTTTTCTCTTTTCATTCATCGAATTAGTCACATGATAATCGATCAATAATAACAGTAACTATGATGTTAGATATACATATATATATATATATATATCTATGAATGAAAGGCTAGAAAAAAAAGTAGACTTGTTAGTAGTATTGTTATACCTTTATAATCCGTTTAAGTTGAGTTAGATATTGCAAAAAATGAGAAGGAATTACTTATTATTATATATATTAATAATAGTGTTTATCTTATTGAAAGAGATTAATGCCAGCGGAAGTAAGTTATTTCTATGTATGTAATAAACTATTTATACTTTGTTCATGTTGGATGGTTTTGAATATAAGTAGATAATTAGTTACTTACTTACTTACTTACTTACTTACTTACTTACTTACTTACTTACTTACTTACTTACTTACTTACTTACTTACTTACTTACTTACTTACTTACTTACTTACTTACTTACTTACTTACTTACTTACTTACTTACTTACTTACTTACTTACTTACTTACTTACTGACGTCTGTTACCCATGATGAAGCCGCTGATCAACATTCTTCAGTCTACTTTGTCCTAGATCTTCCTTTCTAGTTCAATTCAATTGATGTTTACTCTTCGCATTTCTGTTTTCATTTCTTAGAATAATGTGTTTTCTTTGATCTTAAATAATCTCTTTTAAGGTCTTGAGGATTCCATGCGACGTAGTTTGGTGCATTCTTCAATATGTGTAATATACACTTCTATCGCTTCTTCCTCTGGAATCTGTTTTGTCTCTCACACAGTATGTTATTACTGATAGTGTCTGATCAATGGATCCGATGTAATACGCGCAGATAATTGTTAGTAAATAGATGTATCTTCTGTATGATGGCTTTTGAAGTTCTATAAGTTTTCTCAGTTGGCTGCTTTCCTCAATGTTTGTTCTATCTACTTCGAGCACTTCTTCCTGATTTCTTCCTCCGTTAAAATCTAGTTTGTTCCCTCCCTCAGTAGGTTATTTCTGATTGTGTCTAATCAACGAATTCGAAGTATTTTGTGTAGACAACTCTTAATTATTACTTGCATCATTTGGATGATGGCTTTGGTTGTTCTCCTAGTTTCCGCCTCATACAGTAGAACTGTTTTGACATTTGTATTGAAACTTTTAACTTCGGTATGGATTGACAGACAGTTGTTTTAAGTTCCAGCTTTTCTTCAGTCGTAAATATGCTTCTCTTGCTTTGTATATCTGCGTCTTCACATCTGCATCAGACCCATAATGCTCATTATAAAGTATATATTTAGTAGATGGATAATCGAATTTTAGCTTGTTTGAAATATCTGATTATTAATATTAAGGACTGAATCTTGATTGATCTTTATTTGAAAATAAAGATCGAGTGGATTTTAATCACATCATCACTATGGTATATACACATTTGTCTGATGAAAGCCAAATAAAGACGAAATCTTTCTTTAATTAATTGTTTGTAGAGATTGAATGAGAGGGGTATCATATAAAAAGGGAGAAATAGTAAATATCAGTATGAGATTGTGATGATTGTTAAGTTTTTGATTGAGATCATAAATCGATGAATGTTAGACAAAACAGTTATCCAGTATTTCCAGGTTTTCAAAGTTAAGTCAGTTAGCAACAACATACCGTCAAGCACATTTGTGCATCAGTCAAAGTTGTCATAACCTCATTAGCACAACAAAATGACACACCGAATTCATAGAACTAGTTAATTTATTAGTGGTAATATATAAGAGAGAGATTGCATCTAAGGATATAGTACATGATGAAAGAAACAATTTTTATCTCATGGTTTAAGGGAAGACAAAGAGTTTATATACGTACGCCATTGTGATCCATTCTGCGACATGTCACCAACAGTCTTCAACCATTGGTTACAATAGTCACGCGGACCCCAACCACATAGTCTGCATCTACTAACAAGGCTATGAATAGAAGTTAGTGACTTCAAGCACTGATGCCACGTTTCGGTTTGGCCACCTCTAACTTTCTTCTAACCATCCCCTATTATAGTCAGCATAGAGCGTCGTGGTAATCCGTGTTCAAGCATGTGTAACACGTGACCCAACCATCTTAGTTGATGAAGATTCATGACCTCATCAACTGATTTACTATCATTTCCTAATACCTTTTGTCTAACCTCACTATTACTTACCAGGTGATCCCAGAAGATGTGAGCAATATTTCTAAGACATCTGTGACCAAGTTTTAGTAGCTAACGTCTATCTTCCACCCTTTAATGGCAAGCATTCAATGATTAAATGTGACTAATATTTCTTTGTATATTATCAACTAGTTACTTACAGATAATTTCCGTATACAATCTATACTAACCATACTTTCCTGTGAAGATTATATCACTTCAGCTTAATCACAAGTATATAGTAGTGTAGGAAACTGTGTTATTCTCGGATTGCCTCAATATAACCTTACTTCACAATTATCATAAGCAAAGGTGGATTGTGGTCGAATCCTAGAGTGAACATTAGCTCTGAGATGCAGACACATTCAGCTGACGAGTCCCATATAGGACGAAACGAGCGTCAAACTGGATTCCAACGCTAGCTTATAAATTTATGTTTATTATTTTTCATAGTTATATTCTTCTGGAAATATCAGACTTCATCGTTAAACATACAATCCCAACGACTATTATGTCGAATGCTTATTGGCTAATTAGAAAGGGCTGAGTTGTAAACATTGTTTCATCGTGTATTCAGTAGCAAGTAATATAACTTAACTATGAATTGTATTCGGCAGTTACAACATTTTCTAAATGATTTATACGGAAAAGATTACTTACTTACTTACGCCATCTTCATCAATGATGCTATCCAGATATGTGGAAGTGTTTATATCCTCTAAAGCTTCTTTATCAAATATGATTCTATTGTAGCATATTGTGTGGTATCGGAGAGTCTTGCTTTTCCCTTTGTGTATATTAAAACCTACTGTTGCTGAGGCTGCTATTACACTTAATACATCCTTTCAGTAATCAAGTATATCACAAACATTAGGTACAGTAAATCGAAATGGAAAAAAGTATTCTTGACCCTTGTTTTACATTGATTCTTATTGTATCTCATAGATATTAATAAGTCTTTTAAATTTCTATCTTATCTATTTAGGACAACCAAGTAAGTTGGTTTTTTCAATACCTTTGATATATTTGAATGGATACTAGTATTATTAGGATGTCCAGCGGTAATCTATTATGTGTAAACACTAACAATTGAAGCTTCAAGAGTGGTAGTAGTGCGACGACCTTTGAGTAGCGCCAAAGGGATTTTGAAAGTGTTCACCTACTTATTAGAGCGAAATGGAGGTTATAAACGTATGTGAACAATAAAGATTATGATTTACTAGTTTTCATCAAGAACTGACATAATTATAATGACAAAATGGTATGTAGGCAAAGCGCCAAAATCCAAGAGTTGTTATTTGAAATCTGATTGGTTCATCCATAACTTATAGTCTCGTCATGTAAATAGATAAATGGTTAAATCACCAACTTATTTGATGATATCTTTGTGTATAATTATTTATTTAAGCTGTTTTTAGGTTGGTCAAGCCATATCCAGTGAGGTCGGTTAGTTTCTCTGGAAATGGGTTCCGTTTAGCATGGGTCACAAATTCATCGCGTGCATTTGAATCTTTTTGTGAAATTGTGACCCCAAATATTGACGCGCGGGTGCCGCACCAGAGGCAAGATTAATCTACATGAATAGCGATAACACATAAGTTCTCACCCATGAATTCCCTGGGATTCATATAAGCGTACGCACATTCGAAGCAATATAAGTTACATGCATACCTGTGACATTAACACTTACACACTGAATGCACATCACTGGTACAAAGTCTTTCGCCCCTGCACTTCAGGCCCTGGAGGAGCTACAGGTGGAGTTAAGAATATTTTTTTGAGAAGACTTTAGGTCGGTTTTTTCTTCGCTTGCTTAAGTACTTTCTTTAACTATTTCTGTTATACAGAATCGACTTTTTTTACTAACTATAGAAATGTACAATGCAATGATTGTATGATTGAATTAAGCTTCATTGCTTAAAGATAAATTGAAGTTGAATGTAATACTTTGAAACTTTATTGTTTTTCCACTTGACAGTAATATCAGATTTCATACGTAACTATCGACTACAAACCTATCAGTACTCACTTACAACAGTAACGAGGATGCCACGGACGAATGCTCTGGATTAATGTAACCTATATTCATTCAATATATTTTGTTTAGTGCTTCCAGGTTTTCGATAGTGGTCTAGCTTCAATTGACTCATGATTTCAACTATATAAAAAAATACTAAAATCTCCAGGAACCCCCTTCTGATAATGAACATATGCTCACTAGTGACTGACTTCATGAGGTATTTCCTGGAGTTCTTTATGAGCAGCAGTAACCAGTGGAGTTCAACCAGGTCTGTTGTGAGATAATAACTCACTAAAGATAATGGTGAACGGTTGATTAACTTCATGGATTGGTTGAAGTTAGACATTAGCACTGTTGGATGTCATCCCGCTTATTGGTACAGAGGTTAAGCGTTCGCGCGCGTGACCGATAGATCTTGAGTTCAAATTTCGCGAGGTGGGATCGTGAATCTACACTGCTGGGGAGTCCCACAATGGGGCAAAACGGCCGTCCAGTTCTTTCAAGTTTTTCATGGCGGTCTAACGTCAATTGATTCATGATTTCAACTATATAATATTTTGATTCAATGAACAAGGTTTATTCATTCTATGGTTATTCATAACATTTCCAACTCAGTCTATACAGTATTCATATTACTATTATATTTAAAATGATTTGTTTTAGAGTTTGTAAACGTAGACGAATGTAAGTATTTCTTTCCATTGACAATTACACAAATTATTTAATGAGTAATCATTTAAAATATTATACATACATGGTCGGAGAGTATGGTGGGTCGGTTGAGGACCCCTACACAAGGACGAAACAGCTGTCCAGTTCTTCCAGATATCTGGAAATGAAATTTGGTTAGAGCTGGTCTTGGTGGCCTGAGAGTGTGACCACACTGACCAATGGGGAAGCTACTTGAGGCCATTTACATACGACCTTTTTGTTGGTAATTATTCTGCTAGCTCCATACTTGCTGAGACCTTGCCGCTGTAGACAGAAATTAGTGGGATAAGACGAGGTCTATATTTTCAAAGTCTACATTTATTAACTCCATCCTTCTCTGTGAAATAGCAGCATCACCGTCATACTGATTTTCCGAGGAAAAACATCTTACTGCCGTCACAAATCTGTACAGTCAATAGTACGACTTCATCCTTGAACCTTTGATTTGCTTCTTTCAGTCTTACCGTTATTCAACCGACTTATCTGACATAGTACCATAATGAAGATTGATTCTTCCAGCCAGTACAGCTCGATAAATTCAACACGATAGGCAAGCCCTCCCTTACCCGAGCTTGGGACCGGCAATAACCCCCAGATACATACTACTTATATCTATCTATATAAGTAGCATACACCCCAATAAGCTTATTAATACAGTGTATACTGTTAAATTTAATCAAGTTATTTCATTTACTTTGCTTTTACTTCAGATGGTTATCCAAGAAGTGGAGACTCATCAGATATTTTGTAGGTTTTCAATTAATTATAATGATGATGAATTTTTGAGTGTGTGTGTGAGTGTGTACATACTGGTGATATTCATATCCCTTATCACTATAACAATAGAAGTTAAAATTTCATTATTATAAGACCTATCAAGTTACCTTTTTTCATAGTTGAAAGCGTCAGTCAGTTGAAGCTAGACCACTATGGAGAAAGGTTGCTCAACTTCGTGGATTCGTTGGAGTTGGGCAAAAACACCATCGTATGCCAGCTCAGTGGTTTTATCGGTTAAGTGCTCTGGCGCTAGAGTGGTAGGTCCTGGGTTCGAAACTCGCTAGGCGAGGTCGTGGTTGCGCACTGTTGAGGAGTCCCACAACGGGACGAAACGGCCATCCAGTGCTTCGAGATTTTTCTTGGTGGTCCAGCTTTAATTGATTCGCACTTTCAACTGTGAAAATACTAAACCTCCACAAAACGCCTTCACACAAATGGTATTGGAATAAGTTTTTAGCTCATTTATAGGTATAAATGAAATGATACTGTTATGAAGTATATATTTTCGATTCGTTAATATATATGAGCGTGCAATGATACCGAAAATACGTACGAACAGTATTGGGTACTATTCGGTCCTTCCTATCTGCCTAGCCCAGCCCGTTAAGTCCAAAACATAAATAACAGCCTCAGCAATATGAATCATTATTTACAAGCATACTGGGTTATATATACTAACCAAACAGACCAAAATATACCAAAAATAGAAAAAATAACATTTGTACAGTAATTGGCCAATGTGGCTGTAACTAGGGGGAAAGTAATTAATAATAATAGTTCCAAGGTCAAAATAAAGGTTATGATAAGAGGAACACGGAAACGATTAGGTCACTTATTTAACAACTATCCAATAGGAATAGGCGTATTACATTTGTCCATAAATAGACATCAGATTTAGGTTACTCATTTAACAACTATCCAATAGGAATAGGCGTATTACATTTGTCCATAAATGGACCTCAGATTTATGATTCATAATTCGCCAGAGGATACAACAGATACTTTCATATAAGATGAGGAAGTCTCAAGAAGCCCAGAAAAATCGGAAGACATTTCATCCAATCACAATTAGGGAACATCGACGTGTAGCTTCCCTATTGGATGAATAAGAAGGACCTCCTTTGGAATAACATTCCTATTTACTAGTCTTCCGTCTTCTCATTTTGAGACTGGGAAGGGTTCCAGCTTTCGAGTAGTCAAATATCACGTGACATACTAAGAATCTAAGTCCGAGTTATAAAAATTTCTTAATGATAGAAGGTTAAGAAGAAAACAGAACGAGAAAAAAGAATGATCAGTGTGGAAATGAAAGAATAATCGAGTTTGAAACAAGTGAATGACATTTTGCAAATAAAGTATTAACTGTATGGTTTTCAGATTATATGAAGTGATTGTGTAGTTTTGTATTCCGATACATCTAGTTACCCCCAACTGGTTGTCTAGTTTACTACACTGTAAGTTGTCCATCATTACTAATTGTGTTAGAAGATAAAATTGCTGGAGATGCCTACTGATAAGGTCTAGATTGCATGGTCATTTATGTGGTTGTCGGGAAACCCTAATGTCTACAGTAGGAATGACTGTGACATGCTACATTTATTGAGACAGGAAATTTTATTTCTGAAGTCATATCCCTATCTGTTTAAACTTCAGTTTATTGGATTGTTTAGCATAGCCATCAACTTTCCTTCATTAATCATTCGGTTTTTGCATAGAATGATACTAACAGATTGTCAGAAAACTTCTTATATTACCTAATCACGCTCCAGTCTATGTTCGGGTTGCCGTAACTTTTAAAGTTACAATATATGATATAGTGATACCGCAAGAGAGAAAACAGTGACGCGCAATACCCGTACGGTCAGTCTACAGTACTTATCGATCATTCTTTCTGTCTAGCTTTGCCTGCTAAGTCCTGCTAAGTATAATACAATATCTATTCAAAAGTGGCTGTTAATGTAGTAGATTGTAATTAATAGACTGAGCACAACGCAAGAACCGTATATCACAGTCTCGAGCACTTGTTCAACCTGCTATCTACCTATCTAAGCCAGTTCAGTTCAGAACACCAATAACAGCCTCTGCAAAATATGGATCATTATTCTCAAACATACTGGGTTTATATACCAAACAAACTGACCACATCACACCATAAAATAGAAAATAACATTTGTACAAGATTTAGCCAAATGTGGCTGTGAATAGGGGAGGGGACAGTAATTAAGACACTAGGGATAACTCAGGAATGGTAAATCGTATAATAATAGTTTATGGGTCAGAATATAGCTCACAATGAAAGGAACATGAATATGAATAGTTAAGTTACTTAACAGATATACAATAGGAAGTATATGTATCGTATTAGTCAATAAATAGTTCCCAAAATTTACCATTTACAATTCTCATCAAGATAATAACACAAGTAACTTTTCGGGTGAGGGGGGGGGGCGCAAGTATGATGAAATGACGAAACTTCATTGTTATTTCCATGCCTAACTTACTGTTTACACAAACGTACCAAGAATCAACTTTAACATTCAATCAATTTACATTTTGTAGGTGTCAATAATCATTTACTTAAATCATTTACCATAGAAACATATTACACATAGTAATAATCATCATCATAAGTTGCATAGTTACTAGTCAATCATCGCTAAATATATATATATATATATATATATATATATATATATTCCATGATACATTCTATACTATACATGTAACTATAATAGATAAAGAGAACCTACACAAGAATTTTGTGTAATAGGTGGGGGGGGGATTCTTATTCTTTAAAAAAAAGTTTAAAAAAAAAATTTTTTTTGTATTTTTCAATATGGTATCCAGGTGAAAGGTGCTAGAAAGAATGATTATCGATTAATTATAAAAATGACAGATGAATATTAATTTAGTAACCAAGTCTTATTATTATTATTATTATTATTATTATGAAGGTTTTTTTAATTTTACAAATAGACATAAAGAATTAGGGGGTTGACTAAAAAAAAAAAAGAGAAAAATATTTCAGTGTGTTTTCATTTTGTTTTTTTTTGTTTTTTTTTGTTTTTGTCTTTTGTCATTTATAGTAACATCATGTGTTTGAGTCATAGTAACTAACGTATAATTGAGGATAGTAATTGGCATGGTGATATGTTGTTATTTAAGATTTACAAAAAAAAAAATAGAAGTGAATGATTTGATTATACATCATATGTAGTACATATGTATGGTTCCATTGAATCTTTTAACTAAAACTGGTCTCCATGATGTTGAAGGAATAAATGAAGTATGAATCTATTGTTGATCACTGTCTTTCAGAGTTTCATCAATAAATGTGATTTGACTGGTATATGATGTGTAGTATTGGAGAATCTTGCTTTTTCCTTTGTGTATGTTGAGCTCTACTGCTACTCAAGCCGATGTTACACTAGTCATCTTCTCTTGCTTTTGTTGTTGCATGTGTGATAAAATAGCCACATTATCTGCGAAGTTTAAATCGTCCAGCTGTGTCCTAGATATTCAATGTATCCCGTACTTCACTCCAGATGTTGACGTCTTCATTATCTAGTAGATCACCTGGAGAAATAGAAACGATGAAAGTAGGCAATCATGGCTGATATCGGTCTTTATCTCAAACGAGTCAGTGAGTTTTCCTCCATGGACGATTTTGTAGTTTAAACCATCATAGGAATCCCATATGATATTGATTATTTTCCCAGGCACATCGTAGTATCGAAGAAGCCTCCATAGTGTCGTCCTGTGCAAGCTATCAAATGCTTTCTTTTAGTTAATGGAGTTGATGTAGAGTGATGAATGCCATTCAATCGATCGTTCTACAATGATCCATAGAGTTGCGATTTGGTTGGAACACGATCGATGGTTACGGAATCCAGCCTGCTGGTCTCGAAGTTTGACGTCTACGTATTCATTCATTCAGTTTAACAATACCCTGTTGAAGACTTTTCTTGGTATTGAGAGAATAGTGATGCCTCTGTAGTTAGCGCACTTGCTGAGATCTTTCTTTGGTATCTTTACCAAGTGCCTTTCATTCGAGTCTGCTAGCACATGTTTTTCATCCAAAATCTTACTGAAGTGAATGTAGAGTGTCTTTTCAGTTACTGCTACATCTGCTTTCAGTGCCTTTGCCTGAGTGTTGTCTGGTTCCTCTGCTTTGCCGCTCTTGATATGTCTGATGGTCTGCTGCTCTCTTGAATTGTTAGTGGTTCAACATCGATCGCGAGGTCCATGGGTGCTGTTTCAATGTTGATTGGGTTGAGTGGAGCTGATCGATCAAAGAGGTCTTTGAAATCTTCAAATCATGTTGATTGAATGAAGAATACTGGATAGTATAGACCGAATTGTAATAAAAACATTTGAAGTATTTCTATATTTGAATTGTATATTTTATCTCAATGATCTTTAGTTTGTTTAATTTTAACTTAATTCAATGAATCACTTTTCTCATTTAGTGATACGTTTGAAAATAATAAGTAAGTAGTATGAAGTTCTGATCATTTTAATAATGGAGTCTTTTGATCTGGATCATCTTTTGATCAAATATTGTTAAAGGTTTATATAACTTGTACTATCTATTTTCTACAAATGATGTATATTTCTAAGCACAGATGAATGATAGATAAAAGTGAACTTCAAAAGGCACGTTTCATATTATTCGATACTTGTCAGATGAATACGCCTTCATCTGAAAGAGTTAATGTTCACTCAGGGACTCGAACCCAGTATTATTCACTTTAAATAACAACACCTTATCCACTTAGTTACTGAGTTCAGATCGTTATGATTTCATTCAATGAAGTGAAGTTTTGATCATTTTTACATTGTTTGTTTAAGTATTTTGATTGACGTTTAAAACTGAAATTGACCAATCTCTTATTGATATATGTAGATTGTGTGACGATTGCTTTGATAATGTATTCGGTCAATCACAGTCGTAAACGTCAATAGGACGATTCAAACAATTTGTCCAAAATCAATAAATGATTATGTTACTCCTTTATCTGTTGAAAATAACTCCCCTGTTAGAATTCACCTAGTATTGTTTGCTTGGATCTTTCCATCGATTTGTTTAGGACTGCAACTGGTCAGTCTCTAATTGGCATATGTGCATACTGTGCGTATTGCCTCGATATACCTTAATTCACAAGCATGGTAAGCAGAGATGGATAGTGGCTAGCAGTGGAATTCAGTTTGATGCGCATTTCGTCCTATTTTGGACTCGTCAGTTGGATGTACCTGCATCTCAGAGTTGATGTTCACTCTGGGACTCGAACCCAGTACCCTCGCTTCAAACGCCATCGCGTTATCCACTCGGCCACTGAGTTCTGATAGCCACTTGCTTGTGCGATGGGGTGAAGTTTGAATTCACTTAGTATTGTTTGTTTGGATCTTCCCTGTTATTCACACTCACACAGCTAATGATAAACAATTGATTCTAATGAATAGTTTTCATAAATGAACATCTATTGAATCGATGTTAAAAGGTGTACATACTTTAAATATCATAGAATAATTGGAACTATTTAGAGTATGTATACTAAAGATATCAGTAAATTTGTTGAATTCACTACTGGATGGTTGTTTTGTCCAAGCATTGAACTCTTCAGAGGTTTACAGCCATGATCATCCACGCGGATCGATCGATTAAAGTTAAAAACATTAACATCTTTGGATGCAGGTTCAGTGGTCTAGAGATTAAGCATTTGCATGAGAGACTGAAGGTCTTGAGTTTCAATCCTGCGTGCAAGATTATGGCTATGCATCATTGAAGAGTTCAATGTTAAGATGAAAAAACTATCCAGTAGTCCTAGATTTTCACTAATGATTTAACTTAGATCATCCATATCTAACAGAATGTCAGGTATCATCATCATCATCATCATTGATCATTGTGTAAATTGATATATCACTTTCTTTATTGAACTTAAACGTTGATGAGATATGTATTCACTATGTAGAACATTAGGTTCAGCATTCATGTAAGTAATTTGGAAGACTTTTTTTTGTATATTATCTAATCAATGTTTATGTTATTTAAATAAGCTTACTTCCTATGTCTTGGGAAAGATTACAGATGGAGTTTTATAGCTTCATTTTATTAATTCCAGGATTCTTTAGAGGTTAGATTTTAGATTTCTATATTTGAATAAAGTCTATGTAAAGTAGGAACCAGTTGAAAAGGATAAAGATTAGTTAATGATACATTACAGTTATTAGAACTCAGGTTTACATCATTGTCTATAACGAATTTTATTCCTGAAGGTCATATTACTGATAGTCTATTGGGTATATATCACTTTATATTACTGTTATATCGACTACCTGAGTGCCTTGGTAATATATGACGTAATGATTGCTGCCAATCGGAGAGCAGCGAATTTATCGATTGGAATAGTGACAAACGAAAACAGTACGAGCAGTCTAGAGTACTTGACGGTCCTTCTATTTACCTAGCCCAGCCAGTTAAGTCCAGGACATCAATAAGAACCTCTGCAATATGAACCATTATTCTCAAACATACTGGGTTTATATACTAACCAAACAAACCACATCGTACCATAAAATAGAAAATAACATTTGTACAAGATTTGGCCAAATGTGGCTGTGATTAGAGGGAACAGTAATTAATAGGATTAAAGGAGGCTTATGAACCAGTATGAGGAATTAGAATTATGATTTACAATTAATGTTTACGGTTAGGAATTTCGTTTTCTCTTTCTGGTTAGCGTGTTTTCGGTGTCTTAGTTTTCTACAGGATGGCGTTGGTAACCACATTTTCAACACTCCTACTTTATCCAGGAATGGGACTGGAAGTAACCCTAGAGAGACTCTGAGTAGAGTTATGGTTAAGAATTAGATTGAGAGTTTTCATCATGAAATGACATCAGTTAACATGTCCAAATACTCCACATCTTATTGAATGAATGAATTTTGCACCAAAATTGAAAAGTTGTTATCTTAAATAGATGCGCACTGTTGAGGAGTTCCACAATTGGACGAAACGGTCGTTCAGTGCTTCCAGGTTTTACCTAATGATCCAGCTTCAATCGAATCACGCTTTCAACTATGAAAATACTAAATCTCAACAAAACCCTTTCTCATAATAATCTTAAATTTGATTTATGCATCCACATCGCCGTATCCATTTCATTTTAAATTTTGTTTAATTGTGTATATTGACCTAATTTCTATTTGAAGGACACTGTTTCACAATTTGTGGTAAGTTCAAAACAAGACTTCCTTTTACATGATTCAAAATATAAACCATTTTTAAATTTACTTGGTATTGTTTGTTTGAATCTTCCCATGGATGTTTAAAACTGCAATTGATCAGTCTCTTATTGGCATAGGTACATAGCCTTATTCACAAGTATTATAAGAAAAGATGGATAGTGGATAGCTGTGGAATCCAGTTTGACTTACGTTTCGTCTTATTTGGGACTAGTCAGCTGGATGTATCTACATCTCAGAGTTGATATTCACTCTGATACTCAAACAGATGACAAGTCACAAATAAGATGAAACGTGCGTCCTGGATCAAGTATACAATTGATTGATCATTGATAATTGACCAATATCGTATTATTTTTTAGACATTTGATAATGATAAAATTTGATTGTTCAAATTAAAATGTGCCAATTTCCCTATGCAATGCTGAAGTATCCACCGTTTGAATTCGAACAACAATGGAGATACTAAATAAAAATGTCAATAGTCATTGAATGGTAATTAGTCAGTTGTATATGTATTTCAATACTATAGTAGGTTGATAGCTGATCGAATAGTTCGGCTTTAACGTCTCTGTTAGTGAACCTGGATTATACCGGTTTGATTTTACTATTAAGCATTAGTTACATTAGGATCGCACATATAACTTGCAAACAAGTGAAAACTATCAACAAAACTCATTTATATGAAATGATCTAAATATAGTATTGATGTCATACTGTGGTGTATGCTACCGATCTTGATAGATATAAGTAGTATGTATCATCAATCAAAAACGGAATATTGCTGGTGAAAGTTTAAGAAATTCAAAGAGAACAGAACAACAACAGAGTGTGATTAGTATAGAAACGAAAGAACAATGAAGTCAAAGACAATTGATTGATATTTTACAAATGAAATATTCACTATATGGTTCTTAGATTTCACCAAAATATTCCGTAACTACTAGTTCGAGACTCATAGTTGCTTATATATAGAATTGAATATTGAGATCAAGTTTAAGATCAGTTCTCATAAGGCAAGTTGATCACTTTAATTTCTCTCTCGCTATTTAAGAGTCAGTATATGGGAAACGTCTAAGGTTGTTTTTTATAATTCATACTATAATACTGCAAAATATTTAAGTTTTGGTGTAGTTAACGTCTCAACTTGAAATTTTTTAGACAGTTTAAGCATCACTGTAGTGAATAAGAACGAAAAAGTGGAGGATAACGAAATGTATTGAAATACAAAATTACAGAATCTCTTGGTAACATTCCAGAAGTATACAGTAAATACTTCATTTACAAAATACCTCAGACTTGGTTCTTTCTTCGCTTCCACAGCAAACATTCTATGTTGTCGTTCACTTTTCTTTTTATATGCTTAACCTTCAATCTCCTGACATTTCACTTTCGATTGTTGATCTATACTACTTATATCTATAAACAGTAGTAGTATATACCACAATATTAACAAAATAGTATATTTTATTATGATATTCTTCAAGAGTGTCCATTATCTATTCCATGAGTTATCAGATTCATATCATTCAGATCTAACAGATTTTTAAAAAAATCTTAGTTGAGATCATGGATTACTTGAAGCTAGACCACCATGAAAAACCTAGAAGCACTGGACGGCCGTTTCGTCCTGTTGTGCGACTTCTCAGCAGTACGCATCCACGATCCCGCCTCACGATATTCCAACCCAGGACCTACCAGTTTCGCGCCAGAGCACTTAACTGATAAACCACTGGGCCGGCATCCGATGGTGTTAATGTCTCATTTCAACCAATCCACCAAGTTTTAGCAATCGTTCACTAATTGACTTCAGTGAGTTGTCATCTCACAACAGACGTGGTTGAACTCCGTTGGTCACTGCTTTCATTGATCTAGTAGTAAACATTGAATAATTTTTTTCTTTTTTTGTGTGTGTTTTTTCCCTTGTTTTTAGGCTTTTATTCAAACAATCATTTGGGTTACCATGAAAAATTAAAAAAATCAATTGATTGTTTATTGATTTATTGATTGGTTTATGATTGTTTCGTCCTTGTATTTTGTTTGCTTCTTTATCTTCTTTATTAATATGTGAATATTATACAAATGGACTATTGTTTTTATCAGTGAAACTAAATTTTATCAGGTTGCTACGGTGATTAATTTTCATTGAACAATTAAAGTCATTTTTAATATAATAATTAGTATTTTGAATTCATTAAATGAGAAGGTAAATCTTGAAGGAAACTCGTCAGCAAGGTGTAGCTGTATGCTTGAGGCAACTGGTTCTCCCTGACGGATTCGACCCTGTGTCACCCAGCTTCAAAGTCAGAAGCGTTACAGCTAAGTTATTCGGGCAGCGACCGACCTCCTGTAGGACTCAGATGTAATCACAATTGATTGATCACTAGGTGGTGATCCAGGTGGTGAATACCAGTAATCCATTGTGGTGCGGGTTACTTATATCCATATAAGTAGTATATGGTGACAATCTGGCATTGTATGTATTTTAGTAGAAGATCGATAAGGAAAGAACGGAAACAGAACGCAATCGGTATGAAAATGCATGAACAATGAAATCATAGAGGATGGACTGATATTTACAGAAGGAACAGTGAAGATCGAGACAATTGATTGTTAGTTTGCAAATTAACTGTTTACTGTATGGTTGCCGGATTTTAGTGAGGTGGTCTGTAATATCCGTGTTTAATACATTCGATTCTTATTGTCTACACTATCTTTTAAATGAATAAGAGTGAAAATACATTATTGATGGGCAATTCCAGAGGCTAAGTGTTCGCTCACAAAACTGATTGGTCCTGGGTTCGAATCTCACGAGGTGAGACTGTCGATGCATACTGTTGAGGAGTTCCACAATGGGAAGAAATGACGATCCAGTGCTTTTAGGTTTTCTATGGTGGTCTAACTCTAGTTAATTCATGAATTCAACTATAAAATTACGAAAAATCTTCACAAAACCACTTCTGATAATTTCAAGAACTTCAGAGAATTTTTAGAAGTTTGGCACTCAAGTCAATCAGGAATAAATCAGCACATTAAAATCAATCCAACTTATTAATGGATCAAGAGAATTATGCGTAAATATACGAATAAAAATCAAATCCATAGGAGATACTGCCAAGCTGTGAACCACATGTGATGAAAGTCGAACATTTCACTTCAGGGCTGGTAGGTCCTAAGTTCGAATCTCACGAGTGCGGGATCATGGATGCGCACTGCTGAGGTGTCCCACAATAGAACGAAACAACCGTCCAGTTTACCAGGTATTCCATGGTGGACCAGCTTCAATTGGCTCATGATTTCAAATATGAAAATACTGAAATCTCCACAAAACCTTTTGCGATTCTTTTTTATTCGTACATCTTGTTAGCTTTAAATTATTAGAAATGAGTTTTCTGTATGCTGAGATAATTTCAAATTAATCACAGTTATAGCGTATTAAAAATCACATTATTTAGAAAGTGACTAGAGTTTCCTGGTAAGATCCTTTCATTTAGTCGTTTGTAAAATCATCATCCTTCGGCCTAATTTAATTATTATTCATTTGAGATCATTTGGTTTTCTATTAATGATCCGAATACATCAGCGAAGTAACACAAACGTTGATCATAATCCTTGAGAGGTTACTGAAATCCTCACGGGACGTTATTGCTTCTATGATTGGAATGAATTGGAAGCATTCAAAACCAGTGAAATACACCTGAAGTTTGTACATCAATCAAAGTGCCTTATCTTCAAATATCACATGATTTTTGAGTATTAGGTAAGAGTAAAATTTACGGACGACCTTCGAGCAACGCTGAAATGACCTTGAGAGTGTTCATCTTATAACCAAGACCAAATGAGGGTTATTAACCTATGTGAGGAATTAGAATTATACTTTACAGTTGATAGTTAAGGTTTGGAATCAGATTTGATGTTTTCATTATCAACTGATATCAGCTATGATACCATTATGAGTAAAAGAGAATTGCATCAAAATCCAAGTTCTGCTAACTCTAATGTAATTAGTTCATTCATAAATTATAGTCTCGTCGATTATTATTATCAGTAGTGATATATAGTAAAGCAAGATATGATCCATCTACTAATGTAAGTTGACAAACTCATTTATATAATGATAAAGTTCAGGTTGAACAACACTTTAGTTTAAAGTAGTTCATTCTTTTGTTAAATTTGGACAGTGATATGGATATACAAAGTTTATTAAAACTACATATTGATCATACATATGACATCGTTTTGATAAACCTCATCATCTGATTGTGATGTTTTAGTAGTTGAATTCATAAGTCAATTAAAACTAGATCACCATAAGAAAACTGGAAGCACTGGATGGCCGTTTCATCCTGACATAGAACTCTTTAGAAGTGTGCATCCATGATCCCACTTCACGAGTTTCGAATGCAGGACGTATCGGTCTCGCGAGCTAATGCTCAAACTCTAAACCACTAAGCCATCATCCGATGATGTTAATGCCAAACTATAAACTTGAGTGACACATCTATCATTGTTTTCACAGAGTTACTATCTCAGAACAAACCCTGTTGAACTATCATACTAGGACGAAAGGGCCGTCCATTGCTCCAAGTTCTTCCATGATTGTCTACCTTCAATCCACTCATGTATTCAACTACTAAATCATAATAATATCCACAAAACTCCCTTTTTGATCATTATGATAATATTGACCGACTTAATTCCTTGTTTATATGAAGAAACCCAGTTGTAGTCATCAATGAAGACTTTGCTTTTTGTTTTGTTACAAATTTGTATTTATTCTTCAAATTATCTAATACACTTTAAAACAGTATTCATATCCAATTCATTACTATGACAAGTGACAATCAAGATGTTATTCCACTGTTGATTACAAAGAAATGAAAACATTGAATATCATAAACAATGAATACTGACAAATTGAAACAAGATGGTTTGAGAAGTTTAGTTCAATGTAAAGATAATTGTAGAAATGAATTAACCTACTGGAAGATTATCAAAACAATCATGAAGGACTGAAAGATTCCTCAGTGTACATCTACGATTTCGTCAAAGATTGAATAGATCTTTTGATGAACTCACAATAATTTGTCCATTTAATGAGAGTCTCCTGTATATTTGGTAGTTTATGTGTAGAAGTAATGTTTGTTTAAATACCTTCTTAGTATCGTACCCTAATACTGTATAGGAACTACATTTTATACTACAATTGTAAGATTCATCAATAATCTTGAAGGATCGATGATTGTTCTCAAGAAATGTAATAATACAATGTTATAAATATACACAGTATAAAAGACAGGTATCTAACTTAGTACAATGGAAGATGGTCACGCAATTTCGTGGATTGTTTGAAGTAAGACATTAAAACCGTCGGATACCGGCTCAGTGGTCTTGCGGTCAAGAGCACGGTGGCGAGACCGATAGGTCCTGGGTTTGAATTTCTCGATGAGAGATAGTGGGTGCGCTTTGCTGACGAGTCCCACAATAGGAAGAAACGGCCATACAGTGTTTCCAGGTTTTCCATGGTGGTCCGGCTTCACTTGACTCATGATTTAAAATAAGAAAAGATTAAGTCATTTCAATGTTCAGAACAATAACTTTAAGTGAAATCTGGAAACTGGATTGATGGGTATGGAGGATCCATTTATAGGAGTTGGAAAACACTGATTTCAAACTAATAGTACATGTGAACTCCAGAATCCTCAGGGAAAAAATGGAACACGAATCTATTGTTGGTCATACACTGCGATAGGAGTTCATCTCTTTAATTTGACCCGCTGCTTTGTGGATTAGACCGTTATGTCAAAGGTTTTTGGTGTGGTCAACCAAAGAAAAACACCGGCTTCAAAGCTATTATGTGAGGCATATGTATTTGGTGCCTCGTTGTACCATCAATACTGTCAATATACTTTAAATTAATGAACAAGACAATATAAATTGTATAGTTGAAATCGTGAGTCAATTGAAGTTAAACAATCATGGAAAACCTGGAAGTACTGGACGGCCGTTTCGTCCTATTGTGGGACTGCTCAGCAGTGCGCATCCACGAGAGAAGTAGCAACCAGTGTAGTTCAACTAAGTCTGTTGTGAGTTATCAACTCACTGGAGATATTGGTGGATGGTTGCTCAATTTCATGGATTGGTTGAAGTTAGACACTAACACCGTTGGATGCCGGCCGGCTCAGTGTTCAAGTGGTTAAGCACTCTTGCGAGAGACGGATAAGTTCTGGGATTGAATTTTGCGATGCGATATCATGGGTGGGCTCTGTTGACGAGTCCCATAATTGAAAGAAACGGACGTCCGGTGCTTACAAGTTTCCCATGGTGATCTAGCTTCAATTGACTCATGATTTCAACTATAGAGTTACTGTAATCTCCACAAAAACTCTTCTTAAGATAATATTAACGTATTCAGTATTATTACTATTATGAATAACAGTAACTTACAAAAACTTGGTAACAGATCTATATAAAGAAATTAAGTAAAATTTATATTCACATCTGATAATATGAAGAATGATAACTTGAAGAAAATTGATGATTCAAGATACATGGTATGATCCAACACAACTAATTGGTTATTTCATTCTGATACTGCTTCATAAAGGCATTATTTGTATTATAAGCTGCGGAACATAGTGGCTATGAGTGGAATTCACGATGCACGTTTCATCCTATTCGAAACTAATTACATGGATGTATCTGCATCTTAGAGTTGATATTCACTCCAGAAGTCTAACGCAGTATCATTCACTCTAAGCGTCATCACGTTATTCGCTTATCTACTGAATTCTGATAGACACCAGATTGAACAATATGGTGAAGTTTAAATTCATCATTGCATTGTTTGTTTGAATCTTTCCATTTACGTTTAAGACTGCGATTGATCAGTCGCTTATTGATATATGTGTATTCTGTGTGGATTCCTTCGACATTGCCTTAAGTCACAAGTATTATAAGTAGAGAT